GACTAATAACAATAAAATTATAACGATTGCTCTGTGGCGAATTGGAGTTCTAGTCATCACTCAATATACCTAGTTCTGAAACTCCATAATTTAATTTTGTGGTAACCCTTGTTACAATTATAAAGTTAAAAGGATTTTTAAAAGGTATTTCAAATGCCATAGAAAAGAATCAACATTTTTTAATAAAAATCTTGTGTTCTGTTTAAACTTTCGTATAGTCCTTTACGAGGTCCTTTATTATTTTTTAAAGTGAAGTATCTTCGATGGTGTTTCAGGTTAAAATAGTACAGGCTTTTTTAACCTTTGTCGTTGGGGATATTCTGTATGAAGTCTCGCAATTGAAATTTCGTATAATGGTGTTTTGCATTTAACTAAAAATTATAAAAACTGTTTATGATATTTAATAATTCACGCGTTTATTGTTGGGAATATTTTTGGAGATCTAGGCACAAGTTACGCAAAATAAACAGTGGAATCAGGAACTACAACAGGTGGTCCCATTTTAATTAAAGAAGTCTTTGTCGACTTGATGAGTCACCGAAAATGCCAATATAATGAAGGGCCTTGTCGTAAACGATAGTTTAAATTTCAAGCCGAAAAAATATACATCATTGGAGCCATTCCTCCTTTGCAGGAAGTACGAGTATATCACATTCCGAACAAACAAACAGGAAAAAAATGCAAAAAGGAACCCCTACTTTATCCACTTTAAAAGTATTCCGGACAAATTTTGGGCTGTATGTATCTGTATTTCATTGAAAAGCATAGGGCGAATCGAATCTCAAAGAGAAGCAACATCGATTTTGTGAGATATATAGTTAGCAGTTACAAAAGAAGAACTTACCCTGTAGGTTTCTTTAATCTTGAACCATTATCGTCCATGGAAAACCTATTATTTGAATTCGTGGTCTGATCAGAAACTCTAACGTACGTCCGAATACACGCACAGTTTAATTAGCACTTCTCAAAAAATCCACCTGACGCATTCACCGGTCTATTCAAAACTGGTCCTATCGCCGGTCGCATTTCTACTTTCATTATGTTGTTATCTTATCTGCCAACGACAGGTATGGCATTGCGACGCTGGGTAAATCACGCACGCACATTAATTTCTATTTCATATTTAATCGATAATATTTGCAAGGTCTTTTTAAACAAAATGGACTTGTTTTCTTTGTAGATTGAAACTTTTCTATTTTGACTCCTTTTGACCTACACAGTAGGTAGTAATTTTAGCTTGAAAAAAGATACACACAAGTCCATGTTCAAAAAGGCATTTCTAAGGGGATACAAGTGTCCTTTTTAGGCCATATTGAGGAAATCGGAAAGTAGAAAATCATTCACTCTACGTCTTTATATTTCCTTAGAAAAACCCGTTTAATAGAATCCAAATTCAACAAATTTAGACCTTCAATTTATTTAAAAATTACTTCTACTTACCAGAAATTCTTGTTTTTATAAAGACACTCAAAGATGGTCTCAATTTTTCAAGCATTGGATGAGCAGATAACGTCCAGATAAACTTCTACTTTTGGGAACAGTTAAATTATGGGGAGATGAACTTAGTCCTCCTACCCTTACTTCTAAGGTGTAAAGTTCCCTTGGACCTGTGACAATGTGTAATATGAAAATGTGTTTGTTAATGATTTCTTCACCTTACTTGGCGCGGGCTTGGTTCCGTACCTCTTTCAACCTATGTTATTGGACACTCTTCGTCTTAGGGCTCTGCACTGTCTTTGAAATTTTTCGCCATGTGTGCCGGTCGCTTTGATGATCTAAAACATGTTGAATTATGGCGCAAAGCGCAAAATAGTTCAATCGGAGCGATGGGATACTCCTGTAATGAAAATGTTGAAGTTCACTATGTAAAATTTCGCTTGCCTTAGCGGCCGCTTGACTCCTCTTTTCCTCCGCACGCTTTTTCGGGGCGAGGGGGGCGTTCGGCGCAATGACGCATCTAACAAACACATCGTCTTTGTCCCCCCATTACCCATACAGTTAGTTAACTAAAACCTAAAATAAATTAAAATTTTGAGCGATACTCCCTGTTGTTCACGGCTCCGGTTACCTTACCTGTAACGGCGGGCCTGTCGGCACCGTCCGGGCTGGGGAAGAAACGTTTGGTTGGGTGGGCGAACCGCTCCCTCCTCGGCTGAGGGACCGAGGAGGCTAGTGGTGTGCTACCTACCCTACCCTAAGTGCCTAGCGTGGTTGCTTAGCCTGTCCGAGGATCGACCGAAGTCGGCTTATACCTTAGGCCCTTCCTCAAGGGGCGAGGACGCCTACGGGCAGTTGCCCGAAGTCACCCGGGGAGGTGTTCGCCTCCGCCAGTCTTTCACGGTGGGCACAATAACAAACTACCACACAACTTGCACCAACACCAAACAATTAGTGTGGGTATATAACACTCGCACTCGAAAGGACACACTTAACATGCAAAAGGCAACCTCATCGGTTACAATATCGTCACTGCCCAAAGCTTTTGGGAACAGATGGAAGTCTGACGGAGCCAAATCAAGCGAATAAGTGGGGGTAGGAAATCAATTTCAAACTAACGCCTTCCCTTCACGGCTGGGAGAATCCTCTTCGCCTTGCTAAAAGAAGATTCGCCACTGTTTTCACTGTTGCTGTTGTTTCGAGGATGTGGTGATGAAAGCAGAAAGGCTCGATCTGTCTTTTTAAACTCGCTCGAAAAATTTTTTTCCGGGTCGATCTGAGCCAATTTTTTTTCGGGGCAAAAAAAGGCTTCCTTTTTTCCAAAAATCGACTGCACCAAAATTTCTCGGGAAAACACTTTTTCTTTTTAATTTTGGTGCGTAGAATCCAATTTTCCAAAAATCGACTGCACCAAAATTTCTCGGGAAAACACTTTTTCTTTTTAATTTTGGCGCGTAGAATCCAAAACAATTCGTACTTTTTCGATCAGACTTCTCAATCAAAAGTTATAGACTTAGAAACCAATTTCGAAAGAAAATTCAAAGGGCTGTAACTTTTGAACTAGTAGCCCAATCTTGGAACTGTTTGAAATTATGGATTCTACAGGCCACATGCTATAAGAAAAGTTTTTTTCCGGATCGATCTGAGACAATTTTTTTTTCGTGGCTCAAAAAAAGGCAGTGTATAACCTTGCTTTTTTACCAAAAATCGACTGCACCAAAATTTCTCGGGAAAACACTTTTTTTTATTAATTTTGGTGCGTAGAATCCAAAACAATTCGTACTTTTTCGATTAGACTTCTCAATCAAAAGTTATAGACTAGAAACCAATTTCGAAAGAAAATTCAAAGGGCTGTAACTTCTGAACTAGTAGCCCAATCTTGGAACTGTTTGAAATTATGGATTCTACAGGCCACATTCTATAAGAAAATTTTTTTTCCGGGTCGATCTGAGACAATTTTTTTTTTCGGGGCTCAAAAAAAGGCAGTGTATAACCTTCCTTTTTTACCAAAAATCGACTGCACCAAAATTTCTCGGGAAAACACTTTTTCTTATTAATATTGGTGCGTAGAATCCAAAACAATTCGTACTTTTTCGATCAGACTTCTCAATCAAAAGTTATAGACTAGAAACCAATTTCGAAAGAAAATTCAAAAGGCTGTAACTTTTGAACTACTAGCCCAATCTTGGAATTGTTTGAAATTATGAATTCTATAGGCGACGTTCTATAAGAAACAATTTTTTCCGGGTCGATCTGAGCCAATTTTTTTTTCGGGGCTCAAAAAAAGACAGTGTACAACCTTCCTTTTTTACCAAAAATCGACTGCACCAAAATTTCTGGGGAAAACACTTTTTCTTATTAATTTTGGTGCGTAGAATCCAAAACAATTTGTACTTTTTCGATCAGACTTCTCAAAGTAGATTTTTATTTTCTTTCTCCTTTGCTCTTGCTCTCGCGCTATGAATACTAATTGTAGATCTCCTTTTATTTATTAATTGCAAGTACAAAGTCTCGTATTTATAGAAGATTGCTGAATAGAAAGTTGAAAACAAAAGTAACCTTTTTATTTTGATATTTAAAGTGCGATTTTCAAATGTGGTTATATAACAAAGGTCTTTAGAATACAGCGGATCGAGCGGCACGCACGGTCGGCACTGTATACAGGATGGTCGCCGGTACCGAAACTCTAGGATTCGGTATCACCACCACATCTACATCGTCACACGGAACGTCATCCCAGGTACCCACATATCCTGCTGTATACTTTGCCTCAAACTCCTCTTGGCATTTGTACCAGTATACCTGAGTAGTGTAAAGATGATTCTGCACCCTATGTTATTTGTAACGAAACACCTACTGTTGTACATTCAAGATTTTCATTTACTAACCCTTTTTGTGCAAACTTCAGTCCCAACTCCGCAGCAACAAACACCCACTAACCTCTCTACTTGCTACCACATTCTTATTACTCTACCCCTTTGGAACACAACCGACTCATTTCGCCCAGACATGTAGGTGTAACCCAATCAACAAGAGCGATCAATCCAAGACCTAGCAGTGAATTAAACGAATGTACACTTTTGATACCTCATCCGTAAAGAAATCGAGCGTAACTCACAAATATGGCTTACTATACGGTCCCCTGTAACTTCCTGCACCTTAGCCTTCGTTCATGTCTGCTAAAATAATTACTGAAAGTTAATTCGTAGTTGCACAACTACGTAATTATTAATTAAGAACCACAATTTCGCAAATTAATCAAGGTTATGGCGTTTAGATAATTTACTCAACCATCAAATGGTACATTAACTGGTTTCACCGCAGTCAACCTACTTTGCTTTCCGAAAAAGTATCGAGCGTCCCAATTGCCAAAGTAATTAAAATTTAAAGATATTACAGTCAAAGCCGTCTTTGTGGGCGAAGCCAGTGCTTAATAAGTCATGTAGAAATGTAAATTTGATGACCGGTACCATTGGTATAGTGGGTGCTCACGTATGACATCCAGTATATCAAAGTCGCTGTAAATGTGCGCTTCAGAACGAATACTAAACTATGCTTCGTAGTTGGTCTCCGGATCCGGATCATCCGATGACACGGAAGAAAAGACTGCAAGCGTTGGCGGCGCTGTCGAAATTGACGTATCTCCAAAGGTGAACCACGACGGGGAGGGCATTCCCGGTCCAATTACTCGCCTACTAGTTGTCGCAAATCGCGGTATTGCCAACCTAATACAAGATTTAATTCTGGTAAGTCCCTGCGACGCACAAAAAAGGCATTCGGCACGCTGTGTAAAAGGGTTTTAGGATGAAATTGTTAAAGAAGTGGTCATAGTTTGGTTGCTTTTTAAATGCACGTATAGCTTTTAAAGGCGAGGTAACTACTTCGTTTTGAATATAATAATTCACTTTTATTTCTACTTTTCAGCGTTTGGCGCAAACAAGCGAGAGAATAGTAAACTTCAAGGCACGACTTGTAACGGCTCTGATCTAGGCAAGCACAGAAAATAGAACCTTTCAAAATTTGTTTTTCCATTTCCATCATTAGTTATACTCATACACCGTTAATTTAATTATTCTTCATTTTATACTTTCACTAGTACACACTGCCCATATAAACCTAAAATCCTCCTTAAATGGTGTATATAGGCAGATGTACCAAGTGGACATCCTGACATTTTGTTATAGTTATAGGCAATAAGGCAAGCGTTGTTAATTTCATTTTGTACAATTGTGAATATTTTCCTATCGTTGTTATATATTTAAGGTCCAAAATCAGCTTAAAGAACGTTGAACTTATTGGGCTCATTCAAAATGTAAATATAATGTCAGATGTTTTTTTATTATTGTTTTAGTTATAAGCTAGCATAATTTGTAAATAAAGTATATGAACTGAGTATTTAGGTGCGATCTTTTAATTTTTATTGTAGGAATTAGTTCTGGTAATGTGTTGACAACTGCTCCGGAAAGCACTCAAAACTCTTAATGGTCTAAGCGGTACACCGAATTTGCCCAGCACGGAAAGTCAAGTGTCACCGCTGCGAATTAGTGGGGCATTTTATTTATTTATTTATTTTGTTACCAAATGTAGGACGAGAACCACTAAGCACATATTTCTTTATGTAAAAATATACATGTATTGAATTCGCGTATGTTTCAGTAACACCACACAAATTTTAAAAGCGTTCTGTGATTACTATAATGTTGGTCATTAAAAACAGGAATAAAGGAAAAGGAAATTATTTCATCTCAACAATTTATAAGTATTGCATTTTGTTACCGTACATCATCACCAATTTGGGATGTTATAATAAATATTGAAATGAAATCAGAAACATCTGAAAGAATACAAAAATCTAAGTAATTAAAGAAAGATTGGATTGGAGAATATGGAACTTAAGAATCGGACGAGTCCCGAAGAAATAATAGCCTAAAATCCTAAAAACCGAAAGAATACGAAAAAAATAAAAGAAACAAATACTCGAAAGAGCAAAGATCAGAGTAACTGGAATAATCTGAATACGAGGCGTCCCAAAAATCGTCCGAAGAATCTAAAGAAACTAAAGGGCCTTAAAAGTCTAAATTGAATCCAACCATTATGATGAATCGAAAATATTCGAAGAGACAGGAGCATTTAAGATTTGAATAATCGTAGAATCCTAAAAATCCGAAACACCAGACTAAACGCGCTAGTTTTACGTTGATGAAAACCTTATTTTTTTTACTGTTGATCTTTGTCGTTTCCAACAATAATCTTTGGAAAAAACAAACATCTTGTTGATAATTTCAATGGAAATTAAATCTTACGGTTCAGAGTAAATGTTGACCGGGCTACTAGAGCAACAGCCCAAGCGATCAGATAGGCTTAATATATCAACGTAATGTTTAATAATAATAATAATAATAATATTTATTATACCGTTATCCGTGTGGGTACACTTACGGTCGTCATTGGGAAAAAAATATTACAAACAAAAATACAAAGATACATTCAGAGACTAACTAACAGAGGAGGATAACAGAGTACAATTTTACATATTACATCGCATGACAGTTTTTCATGAACTCTCCCTGACAATAAAAAGCATGTTTTGAAAGAAATGTTTTGAGGCGTGACTTAAGAGCTCCAATGGGCATAGATCTTATATTATTAGGGAGGCTGTTGTACAGAAGTTGAGATTGGTGGACTACACCATCCTGTGTTTTTGACAACCTGCAGTACTTAGTTCGAATGTTATGCTTAAGCCTAGTATCGTGATCGTGTACGTTACATTGTTTTTTTGCCATTGATAAGTTCTGCTTAGCATAACAAATTGCTTCGAAAATGAACATGCAAGGAAAAGTAAGAATGTTCAGTTCAATAAAAGCCTTCTTGCAATCCTCCCTGTATTTCAACCCAGCTATAATTCTGATGGCTCGGCGCTGCAATCTAAACATGCACCGCCAATGTGAAGTACGTCCCCATGCTAATATTGCATATAAGAGGATGCTTTGGATGAGAGCATAGTATGCAGTTTTGACAATCTTTGTTGATGTACTATTCCGCAATCGTAACATAAAAAAAATAGCTGTATTAATTTTTTTTGTTAGATGATCACAGTGGTAATTAAAATTTAATTTACTGTCTATCGTACAGCCCAATAATGACATTTTATTGGTAACAAGGACCTCAATTCCTCTTTTCAGGGTTAGCGGCATGATCACTGTCTTATCCGTATTGAGCACCATTTTGTAACGTGTTCAATGCTAAGTTGAATTTGACGTTTCGCATAGTTGATATCAGGGCTGCGACACATCAAAGTAGCGTCGTCAGCATATAGTATGCACCCAACATCAGCGGGTAGGGTCAAGGGCATGTCATTAATATAGATAAGAAACAATATGGGACCAAGGATTGACCCTTGCGGCACACAATGTTTTATTGGCAGTCTATCAGATAGGGAGTGACCGTAACGTACGCATTGGTACCTATCGGTGACATATGATTTAACCAGCTGTGCACTGGTGTTGGCAAATTTGTAGGCTTCCTTGAGCTTCCTCACTAAGATTTTATGAGACACACAATCAAAAGCCTTGGAGAGATCCACAAAGGCAGCAACCATGTGACGGCCATCCTCAAAACATTCTAGTGCTTTGTTGATAAAGGTAATAACTGCATCTGAAGTGCTTTTTCCCTTCCTAAAACCATATTGATGCCGATAGAACAGATTGTTTATTTCAAAAAAGCTTATAAGCTGTTTGTATAAGATCTTCTCTATAACTTTACTGAATATGGGTAAAATAGATATCGGTCGGTAGTTACTTACATTATTCATATCGTTGGAACCTTTTTTATAGAGAGGAAGTACTAAAGCTACCTTCATTATATCTGGAAAGTGGAAAGACTCCTGTGCTAATGATAGTATTGACTAACTTGGTTAGTGGGTAGACAAGGGAATTAATATTGAGTTTAATCAACTGAATGCTTAGACCGTAAATATCCCTGGAGTGACTATTTCTCAGACTGGTTACTGCGTCGCGAATTTCAACTTGGGATACATTTTTAAAATCAAAGGTCGTATGAGAGGAGTTTAGTTTACAATAGTTCACGGAGTCGGTGTTCCTACTGGGTAAGTTGGCTAAAATGTTGTCTACGATATTAGCAAAATACATATTAAATTCATTGCAAGATAAATTGGATTGAGGTACAATATTACAATTTCGTTGTGAATTGATTATTGTCCACATAATTGCAGGAGTTTTTAATAAACGTATCATTTGCTTTCATTTTAGCCGATCTTATTTCCTTTTTATAAGATAAAGATAAGGATTTCTTTAGGTCATAACGGTTCTGAGAGCGGTACCTGTTAATACAATTCACTGATGAGTTGTAAATTATCTCTTAAGCGAGATAGGTTTTGCGAAAACCAGTTTACGACCTTGCCATCATTTTTTTTAGTTGTGTTTCTAATTGGGAAACTAGCAATGTAAAAATCATAAATAATATCGTGAAAGTTCTTAAACGTACTATTAAAATTTTTGTGTTCTGAACGAACAATAGTCTTCCAATCACAGTTTGAAAGTTTTTTAAAGAAGTCCTGCATCCCCGACCTAGTCAAAGGACGATACAAGTTCTTTGCACACACTACATTTCCTTTCGATGCACTTACAAGTTCAATTTGTTGACCTAGATGATCGGATAAACCTGTATTTAGTGTCGAAGCACGATAATTAGAAGTGGAGAAATTAACAAATATATTGTCTAAACAGTGCACACCGCGCGTTGGGGTGAAAATTGTAGGTATAAAACCATTTGATTCCAAAAGGTCGCAAAGAAACTGAGACTTTCTGTCGCTGCCGAAGTGTACGTTGAAGTCGCCCACTAATACCGCGTTGTAGTTTACTAATCTTTCGAGCATCTCCTCCAGACGATTACAGAAGATAGTGTAGTCCCCAGCTGGTGATCTGTAGATGCAAGCCACTACGATGTCGCTATTCACCAGTGTGCAGCATATTTCAAAATGTTTCTCAAGAGATAATTCGTTGATGAAATTCATAGGTTTAGTACGGACATTAGGCTTCATAAAAATTGCTACTCCACCGTGAGTTGATGATTTTCTGCAGAAGTAGCATTGTACCGACAGATCGCCTAGTCGAGCAACTTGGATCAAGTCCGAGTTGGTGATCCAGCGTTCGCTAATGCAAATCAAGTCAAATGTTTTATCACAAATAAATGCTTCGAGATCGTCAAATTTGTTGTTAAGAGATTGGATAGGTATTGATGTGGAATATTCTGAGAGTCACCTCTACTGCACCGATATTTGAAGCGTTCCATGTCACGAAGTTGCTGGTAGAGTCGGTCTTCGGAGAAAAAACCGGTTCACGCATGCACCTGTTGGCCAAACAGATGGATCTAATATTTGTTCAAGGTTTGACAAATGGTTTACCTAATTTTCAAAAAAGTTCCGTAATGAGTAGAAACAATATCTCTTTGGCTAATTACCTATGTGCAAGATCAAGAAGCGTTTTAAATATAATTTAAAATATCACATATGTATGATAACTAACTTATGTGATATTTTAAATTATATTTAAAACACTTCTTGATCTTGCCCATAAGTAATTAGCCAAAGAGATATTGTTTCTACTCATTACGGAACTTTTTTGAAAATTAGGTAAACCATTTGTCAAACATTACGTTGATATATTAAGCCTATCTGATCGCTTGGGCTGTTGCTCGAGTAGCCCGGTCAACATTTACTAGAAAGTGCATTCTGAACCGTAAGATTTAATTTCCATTGAAATTAGCAACAAGATGTTTGTTTTTTCCAAAGATTATTGTTGGAAACGACAAATAAGTTAGTTATCATACATATTAGGAGTCTTTTTAAAGGTTTATAGCAATATCTTCATACACAACTGGTTTCAAATGTCTGGGTAATCTCAAATGTTTTAAGCCCATTTCATCGGAGACTTCTTCAATCGCAGCCAATGCGTAATCAAGTTGCTCTTTGGTGTGTGTAGCGGATATACACAAACGCATTCGAGATTCAAGAATCGGCGTCACCGGGTATCCCACGGCTGGAACGGCTACGTTACGTTGGATCAATGCACGAACTGTCGACCTAGAAATAAATGGTCTGAACAAAATTTTCATGAAAAAGAAACACTTACGCTATCTTAGAATAACGATAAAGAAGGATAGGCACCACTGGTGCATCTTGATGTCCGTAAATGATTACTCCAGTTTGGGCTAACCTTCGTCTAACGTATTGCGTATTGATGGCCAGTGTTTTAAGGCGATTTTTAGCTAAATTGGTACCATCTTTTCCCAGTAATATTTGTAATACCGCAATCACTTGAGCGGCAACAGGGGGTGACATTGAAGAAGCGTACTTCGTGGCGGAACATGTTTGCCGTAATAGTGATATTAACTCCTGAAAGTGCGTCCTTTTAACAACATTCTTAAGAGATGCTATCGGTACTTTAGAACCGGCAATATATCCTCCAGCAGATCCAAAGCTCTTAGCATAGGTTCCCATTAAAAGATCGACATCTCTGGCATTACAACCAAAGTACTCCACAACGCCCTTGCCTGATGGTCCTAAGGCTCCTATGCTATGTGCTTCGTCCAAATACAAATATGCCTTGTACCTCTTCTTCAGCGCAATTATTTCTGGTAAAGGCACAATGCTCGCGTCCATACTATATATACCTTCGACAATGATACAAATTTTTCTCCAAGGTACATGATTATTATTATTCTCCTTGATGGGTTGTCCATAATAAACGGCGGCTTTTAATTTATCTTCTAAATCCTCCAAATCTGAAAGGAGGCAAATAGTTTGACATTTACCTAAACGGGTGTTCTTACCATTGTGACGAAATACTCGAACAGTAGCACCTGACACTTGGGCACCTAAAACTATAGATGCATGATTCTTTTCGTCGCTTATGATCAGACACCCTCCCGATACCAAAGCCGGAATGTTCAACGAATTTGTTGCAAAACCCATACCTAACGCGACCGCATCTTCTGTACCCACAAACTCAGCAGTCAGCTTTTCTAACTCGTTGTTAATTTCATTATTCCCGTACCGTTCCCTTGTAGCACCTGTTGAGATTCCATAAGTATGTAGCGCTTTAATCGCCATCTCAGTGCAGTACCCTGACTTGTCGGAGAATCCAAGATAATTGTAAGATCCGAGGTTGATACATTTCCTCTTCCTCCCTGTAAATCTACAAGGACGATAGAATAACGTCGGTACAACACCGGCATAGGCCTACTTAAAAGTCCACCCGTTGTCCTCGGTAATTCGTTCCTTAAACACTAGTTCCGCTCCAGGAGAGCTGCAGATGGGATATTCCCAACAGTCTCCCATTCGTCTGTGTACATATCGAGAGAAGAAGTGCGTAAATCTATCGTAAAGTTCCGGGTATCCTTGACGATTGTACCTTCCACAGATCTTTCGTGGAAATACAGCTTGGGTAAAGTAACCGATGAACATTAAAATGTAAAAGCTTATAGATGTTAACACCATTGTGACCAGTGATGGCTTTTCGAAGGAGTTTTTTAGATAATTTTGCATTTGCTCAAACTTCTTCATTTCTAAAACGCTTTACTTTCATTATTTTTCATCAGAAATTCAGTCGAATGATTGATTTCATTATGAAATGTTTGTTAGGAAGACTTTGTGGTACCTATCAACACGGGGTTTTGGAAAAAGTAAACGTTTATTAGCTTCCTAGCTTGAGCTAGGTACAACTACCTGAAAATTTTTATTATTTTAAACGCCTTACTTTTCTATGTACAACCTACAAACATTGTGCCAAGTTTTATTACAAACAAACTGAGAACAAAGATGTCAAAAATTCAACACTAAAAATGGTTACTTTAATTTCGTTAAAATTTTGCAAATAGGCATAAAGGTGTAATACTGCCAAAAACGTTTTTAGCGCCGTCATACAACTTCTTTTTCAAATACCAACCCAAAACGTTTTATTCAGTTTGGCGTCTTGCTTTTATACAGAGGTAAATATAAATGCTATAAGCAGTACCGACTAACACAATTCCACAGCAATTTACAGATTAACGTAATCCCAATCCTCTCATAAAGATGTTAATGGCTTTATACAATGTTACAATCTAAAAAAATTCCAATGTATAATCTGGATCTAGATAATCACATTAATCTCGAAAAGCAATATACAGGGTGGTGACTTGCGTAACGCATCATAGGGATTTCAACGTAAAATTCATAACATGTGATTATTCGCTCCCCAAATTATTTTAGAGCAAAAATCTATTTAGGTTTTTTGTAGAAAAAAATTTTTTACGTCAATCAACCATATTAGTTTTCAATTTTGTGCATAATAAAGACGGAAAATTGGAAAAATAAAAACCCCATCTTTTCAATAATCTGTGATGCCATGGAATTTTCTAATACAAAAACTACGCCAATATCCGTCATGCCATGGAATGTCTGCTATAAAACAAATCAAATTCTATCAAAAAGTATTATATTTAGAACAGCGAATTCAACATAAAGAAAGACCAAATTACTAAAAACGGTTTCCTAATATAACAATTTACAATAAATGTTCGAATAAGTCACCATTAACTGCAAGACAGTAACCAAGTCGATCATAAAATCCATTTCGAACTGCTCCTAATTGATAACTGGATATCTTTTTGTATTATAAAATTCCATGGCCTCACAGATTATTGAAAAAGATGGGGGTTTTATTTTTCCAATTTTCCCTCTTTACTATGCAAAAAATTGAAAACTAATACGGTTGATTGACGTAAACATTTTTTTTCTACAAAAAACCTTAATACATTTTTGCTCTAAAATAATTTGGGGAGCCAATAATCGCATGTTATGAATTTTACATTGAAATCCCTATGATGCGTTACGCAAGTCACCACCCTGTATATATAATACCTTATGGTTATAGTGTTAGTGCCTGTAGAATAGAATTGATACCTAGCTTTAGCATATACCTAATTTTCTTTAAAATATACAGCAGGGTATATATCTACATTTAGCGTTACAATAAGCGTATAGGTATCTATGTAATAAGTGAATATTGTAAATATGTACATAATCCTTCATTTTTAATAAGTAACTATAGCTATTTATTTCATAAGGATATTACCGTTGTCATAATTAACGAGGATCCGAGTTTATTATGGCGGGTAATATCCAAATGAAATACATAGCTTTATCGAAACATACTAGATAAATTGTATCCCTCGTTACGACAAAACAAATTCCGCTATTACTTTCTCCTTGGTTACGACAAAACAAATCTTAAATTTTTCTCATGATGGATAACGTCGAAATCGTTCCCCAAGATATTTTATTAGAAGCGGAAGAGGTTTCTTTAAATCTATTGCCAATTCAATCCCGAGAAATATACAAAAAAGAGTACCCTGAGTTCTGTACCTGGCGTGAGGCGCGTGGAGAAAAAGGAGCTTTAGAACTTATTTTGCTTGCGTACTTTAAGACCAAGGTGAGTACTTAATTTGGAACTATCCTTTTCGATCTATTCCTTGTTATACCTGTATTGTTACAACATTGTAGGCGGAAAAATATGCACCATCTACGTTATGGACTCACTACTCCATGCTGCGGACTTGTTTGGATATAAAAGAAAAAATGAAAATTAACAAATGTAGTGTCCTGATTGCTTTTTTTTTCAAATAGAAGTGTCCAGAGGCCAATCTGTAGATATAAACGGTCATGCTAATAAATAAAAACGCGCTTTTAAGTCTCAATAGACAAGTTGATAAGTACCTGAACCCAATAGCTTAGCCGCTTTCTTCCATACAGGTTACGTTAATATTAGAACTCTTGTATTATGGTAACTATGATATTATGAAGGGTAACTATGCTATTATGAGAATTTGTTATTTTGGGGTACTTTTCACGCAAGTTCACTAATAAATTAAGTACGCAATAAATGTCATGTTTCGATAAAATAAATTATGATAAATACTAAAAAAAATTGAATGTAAGTGTAGTGTTTGTCATAGTTAAAATGAGTTTAAAAAAGTTGTAAATCATCAGCATACCTATGCATGATCAAAGCGCATTTTTGGTAATACTAGATCAGTATTTTATTAGCAAAGTTTAAAATTATCGATCTCAAGAGTAATCTAACTCAAAATAGACTAGAGCCTGCTCATCTACACTAGCAGAAAGCTTTTACTGAAACTTTGAAATTTGCAGCTATTGTAATTGCTGAGTGTATTTTCAAAAATGCGCTAAAATTTAGAAAAGAAACTTTCATGAAGTGGTGAGTGAATTGCCAACACAAAGAAACCTTTCGCCTCAAAAGGTTGTCGCTTTTTAATAGTAAAATGCTACAAAGCTACTTTAAATCAATGCACGGTGGTTAGCAGAGAGTTAAAGATATACAAAATTAAAATTACCTATTCGTCGGGGTCAGTTATTTCAATATACAAGGTAGGTACAGAATTCTCCGAATTAAAACACTGCACGAATGATGAAATTAGTGATGAAAATATTTCTTTCTTATATATCTCTTCTTAAATCAAAAAAAAATAAAGTTATCAGTCGTGAATCCCCGCCATTATGTTTATTGCCGATTTGAAATATGTCGCAATATCTTTTATATACCTACAACTATAGTTCCGTATAGTCCAGTCATATTAGTGTTTCACCTCGGAATGAGAGATAATAAGCTATAAACTTTACGAACCTTAGTTTTGGTATTCTGAAAGTTGTCTCAAAAGTTTCATAAAATCTCGTGTCTGCGTCTACAGATATTGAAGATCGAAGGTCCCAAAAATCGTTTTTTTTTTAATATCTCGTTTCCTATGGTTTTAATGCCATTTGCATTTATTATAAAAATTGTAGGGAATAAAATTCTCTCCCAAAATTTTTTTGTCAGGAACATTTTAGCGCATTTTTTAAGAATTAAAAAAAATGTTCTATTGTTTGCGTTTTGTGCGTCCATCCGGATCCACTTCTGCCGTTTCGAACTACTTCGAATGGCCCTAGAGTCCTGGAATTTTTTGCAGTAGGTAGGCTATACCTTGAAGGTGTGCCAGACGCAGACGGTCATCAAATTTCGCTATCTAAAAGCTCCCCCCCCCCTTCTTTCTGTCCTCTTATCAAGGTACGGGGCGGAGGAGGAGGGGAGTGGAACTAGTTTTATCCTTCATGGTACTCTAATGAAAGGTATCAACGAAAGGAATTAATTTCTACCAACCATAGCCCTCCTCCTTGGCCTCTTATTGTGATCGGGTTCCCTTAAACCTCAAGAACGGATTGTAGGACGAGCGTACTCACAAAGGGCGATTGAGACGTCTGAAGAAATATATCCATTGGTGTTGTCAAAACAAAAGCTATTTCGGTAAAAAAAATGCGCTTTATCTGCACAATAGTCTAGGCGATAAAGACTGTAAAATTGGCAAACTGGACATTTTGAGGTGGAAAAGAAAAATTGGTGGAATATGTTCAGTTAGGTGTCAAAAACAACATATTAAAAATCCCACCCTCCTGACCCTGTGCTAAAGGCTCCAGCCACCCCACCATCCCCCAAAAACCGTGTTTTCGCTCTTTTTGGCTGATATCTCGCGATCTATGAGGTCTATATGAAATATTTTTAGCTGAAAATATTTCTCGGGAAATTTTATGCAAGGTAGATACTCAGAAGTTAGCCTAGGTGTACCTCTTAGCCTAGGAAATTCATAAAAGCGGCGAAAATCATCAATTTTCGTGGCTTTTTGCAAATATATCGCGACCTTTAGGGCTAGATGAAATATTTTTAGCCGAAAATGCTCCTCCTGAAATTTTTTACAAGGTAGATACTCAGAAGTTAGCCTAGGTGTACCTCTTAGCCTAGAAAATTCATAAAAGGAGACGAAAATCATCATTTTCGTGTTTTTTTTGCGGTTTTTTGCAAAAATATCGCGACCGTCAGGGCTAGATGAAATATGTTTAGCTGAAAATGCTCTTCGTGCAATTTCATACGAGATAGGTAACTGAAGAGTTGGCGTAAAGTCACCTTTCACCTTCAACTTTCATGATATTCATTGTAAAACAAAGTATTTCTATGTACCATTTATTCACTTATAATTGCACAAGAGGTTTGTATTTTACCGAGTAAATTTGGGTTGTTTAGGTAATGAAAATCTGTTGCCTAGCAATTAGAAGAGAAAAACTGTCAACTAATAAAAATGCGACACCGCAGGTGGAGCATTTTTAGGTTGACAGTTTTTCGAGTTCAATTGCTAAAAGGAAACAGATTTGAGTTGCAACAACCCAAATTTACTCGGTTTAAATACAAACCTCGAGTGTAATTCGGCAGGACAATTTAACGAACAAGAAATTCACCATATTAATCAATTATTGACAGACGTCAAACTAGTCATATGGGAAAGGATAATGCGATAATTGGTTCGAAAATGAATAGTGAAAAAACCACTAGTGCATTTGTCGCTGGAAAAGTTGCAGGTAACTTTTGCCGCTGTCAAAGTGACAATTTCACTGCGGCTTATGCGATTTTTTATACATGAGTTGAATTGTCATATTAAAATATTCACACATTCATTTATACCTCAACGTAATCATTACCCTTATACTTATCCAAATCAATTCGTACTTTTTCGATCAGACTTCTTAATCAAAAGTTATAGACTAGAAACCAATTTGAAAAAAAATTCAAAGGGCTGTAACATTTGAACTAATAGCCCAATCTTGGAACTGTTTGAAATTATGGATTCTACAGGCCATATTCTATAAGAAAATTTTTTTCCGGGTCGATGTGAGACAATTTTTTTTTTCGGGGCTCAAAAAAAGGCAGTGTATAACCTTCCTTTTTTATCAAAAATCGACTACACCAAAATTTCTCGGGAAAACCCTTTTTCTTATTAATTTGGGTGCGTAGAATCCAAATCAATTCGTACTTTTTCGATCAGACTTCTCAATCAAAAGTTATAGACTAGAAACCAAACACGAAAATTGATGATTTTCGCCTCCTTTTATGAATTTCCTAGGCTAAGAGGTACACCTAGGCTAACTTCTGAGTATCTACCTTGTATGAAATTTCCCGAGAAATATTTTCAGCTAAAAATATTTCATATAGACCTCATAGATCGCGAGATATCAGCCAAAAAGAGCGAAAACACGGTTTTTGGGGGATGCTGGGGTGGCTGGAGCCTTTAGCACAGGGTCTGGGGGGTGGGATTTTTAATATGTTGTTTCTCACACCTAACTGAACATATTCCACCATTTTTTTCTTTTCCACCTCAAAATGTCCAGTTAGATGTCTTTATCGCCTAGACTACAAGAGTTGTGCACAATTTATGCTTGTTTTATATATACGCAACCGTTTTTGAGACAGGGCGGAGAGCGCGCCATGCTTACGGCGTATTTACAGCATAATGCAAGATCAACTGTAAGTGTTAATAAATAATACGCCGTATAAAAGGGTTATAAATCACTAAATTATATATAGTTATGCAGCGACGTCGGAAGTACGGGTCAGAGGGGGCGAGCCGCCCCCTCAGTTTTTACACAAGGGGGCCGCGCCCCCTCTAAGAATGAGTAGATAAATCACTCAAAAGCGACTAACACATTCCTCTACTTCATGTTCATGCAGAAATTACAAAAAGTGTAGAGGTAGAGGATATATTGAAAGAATTTGCCAGCAAAACTGCGGAAAGGCGGAAAATTTTTGGATATTTAATTTTTTATACTTGCTTATCTTTACAATGCTCAATAGTGCAATAAATAGGAACAAAATTTTTGTAACTTTTGTATGTTCTAATTCTTCATTACTGTTTAAATAAAATATTAATGATCTATGGCTAAGGTTTCTCAATCGAGTCAAGTATTTCTGAGTTGCTCAATTGCATATAGACATCCTCCGACACTTTTTTAAATTTTTTTCAAAACTTTTCTTTCAAAAATACATTATTTGATTGATTAAATAAACAGGTTTCAAGGTCACTTAAAAAACCAACTGCTTTGCATTAATTCGTACACAATTTTGCATGGAAGGGACCTTTCAGACTCCATGGTCGCTGACTTTTGCCCCCCCAAACGTTATTCACTTCCGACGTCGCTGTAGTTATGTATAATTTGCATTGTTTATTAATTAATACATCATATTTAATAATATTTTTGATTTATGGAATGTATATTTGTTTAATATTACTTACCTATTCGTGTAATAAAATACACTTGTTGAGTGGAATACTTGCAAGTAGGTATATTGTAATTATTTTCTGAAATGGGAGAACGGATCTTGTTAGCTACATACAGGGTGTCTATTTCAGTTGGCAACATAATATGTTCCCATACTATAATATGGGAAACTTTTTATTATTATTAATTGTACGAAAAACAGTTCTTCTTCATAAAAAGTTCTGCATTGTCCGAGACCTAAAATTCAACTATCAGATATACCTATCAAATTTTTTCAATCGTATACATGGCATGTCAAATATGAATTTTACTCAAGAGTAAAATACCTTTTATCTGTGCAGTTCTTTTTATACAGAATTTTTGCGCACTATTAATAAGAAAGTTTTCACGTTATCGAACCTTAGCTGCTTAAAAACCTCTACGAGTAATTTATTTCTCACTGATAGAAAAACCCACACACTCCGACAATAGCAAATAACCAAACGCAACAACGAAGCATGTATGTGAAAAAAAAACATCTTAAGCGCATCTCACACAAATTCCCTTAATTGTAGTCACCCTAATTCATTATAATATGAAAGAACTAGATCGGAATGGGAGTTAGGGGTGTAAGTTCGGCAGCTGCAGTGGTATGGAACTGACAAAATTGATGTCTCAGACTTCCAGCCAACAAGCCATCTCACGCATTCGCTAGGATAACAAAATGTTTAACAATTTACTATTTACATTTTTATTGAGTAACTCTTTTAAGAAAATAACAATACGTATAATTTCTAAACTGTACATGATAAAAGTGAACAATCGAACAACGCTTGAACACAATTCAAATATGTGTTTACCATTACAGTTAAATGCGAACTTGCAATTGTAAAAGAGAGATTACAAAAAATACTTTATTCTCTAAAAACTGCTAAAGCCTTTTTTGTAAATGATATACGTATTACCTATATTAAAATGTTCAAAAAGCAGTGTGGACCCGTAGTGCTGCACTTATTCGAAAGAAGCCAACTAACGTGCAAGCATTCGATTGAAAAGAATTGGCGTGTTTATAAAATAAGTTGAATAATACTTGTTGGCATAACAAACGACGCGTTCTACCACTAAGAGTTGATTTCAATTTTTTCATATTCGATCGGATTTGGGTCCTTCGGTAACCTCGAATACTTAAGACCAATGTCATTGGCGACTTGCTCGATGATTCCTAATGCGTAATCTAATTGCTCTTTGGTATGGCCCGCCGAAAGGCATACACGAAGGCGGCCTTCTAGCAAAGGTGTTGCAGGATAGCCCACGCCTACTGTCGCAATGTTATTTTCGATTAATGTCCGAACAGAATATCTACAAGGAATTGTTTTACATAATTCACGCTGTTTACACAGATACACTTACGCAATTTTCGAGTAGAGATAAACCAGCACGGGCACTACCGGCGAGTCTTGATTTCCATAGGTAATAAGACCGATTTGCGCCAATTTCCGTCTGAAGTACTGCGTATTTCGAGCTAACGTGTCAATTCTCTTCTTTCCCAAGTCTGTGCCGTCTTTTCCCATTAAAATTTTCAATACGCCGATTATTTGGGCGGCTACCGGTGGTGACATTGCGTAAGCATACTTAGATGCGTAACTCTTCTGACGTAAATACGATATAAATTGCTGAAATATGCTGTTTAAATAATAATATCGTCTACTTATAGAAGAAAAAAAGCAAATTTTACGAATAATAAAGGCAACAAATAAGTAATGCCCTCTGTTCTTGCACATAATCTTGCATTTCTGCAAGTTACAGCCAGGGGCGGACTGGCCCGGGGGAGCGGGTGGCGATTGCCACCTGGCCTGTAGGTCATAATGGCCCGTTGGAAATTTATAAGTATGTGCTGTATTTAGTTTCTTGCACTATTAATAAATTATTAACACGTTTCTCTCATGGGAGTTCATGTTAGAACTAGGTGGTTCATTAAAAAATTCTGTTTTTATTTAAGTGTTTTCCAATGAATTTATCTGTTTTTGTCGTATTTTGAAAGTGCTGAAACACAATTATAGGCGACGCGCCTCGTTTGGATTATGTATATTTTGTTACTTTTAATTATCAACTGCAATTTAAAAATAGGTATTTATATATCAAGTACATAAACTGTTTATGGACGAGCCGTTTATTTAGCCGAGCGAGCTTGCGAGCGAGGCACAAATAAACAATAAATACAAAGCTTTATGTACAAGTACATAAACTGTTTATGGACGAGCCGTTTATTTAGCCGAGCGAGCTTGCGAGCGAGGCGCAAATAAACAATAAATACAAAGCTTTATGTACGACTGCACAACCCTTAAAAATGAAAATTTCATGGAACTCAATAAACGATAAAATCTGACAACAGATGTCAAGTATTTCTAAAATACTTGAATTTACCTTGGATTGGCACCTAAGTACGACTGTCACATTGACAGGCGGCCGTTTTACTTTATCATTATGGACTAGGCCATAATATTGCAAATCATGGCCGCACTAATTGCGACTGTAATCACCGCATTATCAAGCAGTCGTATATAAAAACTATATTCTAATTGATTTTCGAGAAAGGAAAACTTTAAAATGAAGCAAAAAATTTTTTTGTGGTGCCCCGCAGAGCCCCCCCCCCCCCTCCAACCTTCATTACACTAATACTTTAATGGCCCGTAACCTTTGCAATTCCACCTGGCCCGTAAGTACCCAGTCCGCCCCTGGTTACAGCACAATAAAGTGTGCCTAAAAATTAATTACTGGAAACGTATAAGTGGCACAACGATCTATAAAAAGAGCACCATCACGTACCCTTTAATTCGTTCAATTATTTTAATATTAATAAATGAGAGTTTATTTAGGTAAATTTCGGCACAAACCTACCACAAAGCTTTACATAGATAGATAAGTACCACGTTCCATTACATTACAGGGTGATTCTCACCTGTGTGCCCGCAATGTATCCTCCAGCAGATCCAAAGCTCTTAGTAAAAGTGCCCATTAACACATCTATATCTTTTGGATCGCAACCAAAGTAATCAACGACACCTCGTCCCGACCTACCGATAGCTCCTATACTGTGTGCTTCGTCTAAATATAAATACGCTTTGTACTTCTTCTTTAGAGCAATGATCTCGGGGAGATGAACTATACTTCCTTCCATGCTGTAAATACCCTCAACAAAGATACAAATCTTCTTCCAAGGCGTATGCGTTATGCTATCCTTGGATTGGCCATAGTAAATTGCATACTTCAACACTTTCTCCAAGTCCTTTACATCTGAAAAATCGCATTAACAAAGAAGGAATCAAGCGGACTAGTACCATTATGTTTGAACACTCGAACAGTGGCGCCGGATAATCGAATACCCAAAATTAAAGAGGCGTGATTCCTTTCGTCGCTGATTACCAGACATCCGGGCGAAAACAAAGCAGGAATGTTCAAGGAATTTGTCGCGAAGCCCATACCGAAAGTAATTGCATCTTCTACACCCAAAAACTCGGCGGTCAACTTCTCGAGCTCCCTGTGTATCTCGCAGGTGCCGTATTGTTGCCGCGTCCCGCCCGTTGACAAGCCGTAAGTATGCACAGCTTTAATGGCGAGCTCGGCGCACGGTCCGCTCGGTTCGGCAAAACCGAGGTAATTATACGAACCCAAATTGATGCATTTTCGTTTTGATCCAGTAAACCTATAATGGGGCGATAAGGCGCGAAATCAACCGGGCGGAAAACTTACTCAAAAGTCCATCCGTTGTCCGGCGTAATACGCTCCTTCAGGACGACTTCGGCGCCGGGAACGCTGCAGATGGGATAGTTCCAGCAATCTCGCACTCTGCGATAGACGTAGAGCGAGTAGAAACTCGCAAATTTTTCGTAGAGATGCGGATAGCCCTGACGATTGTATTCTTTCGCGATCTTCGGCGGAAATAGTGATTGGCTAAGGTAGCCGAGGAACATTAGAATGTAGAAACTTATAGATGTTAATAGAGTCGATAGTAGCATTGGTTTTTCGAATGACTCTTTACAAGGCTTTGCATTTTTAGGTGACTAAAAAGACAAAATGCTTTATTAGTTAAAGTAAATTTTGTACAATCATTGAGTAGCTCTAATCTAGCACTTGCAGTTTGACCTGATTTTATGACACTAGATGGTCCACTCTATCTCAGTACACGCAGTGGCCGAGATAAGGAGGGCCTAGAGAGTAAGAGATACAAATTTGGTTGCTATAAACCGCAATTAAACCATCAAGTGCTAACCATCATTATTCAATCTCGGAATAATCTGAATTACACAGTTTAATTAACTAATAAGTTATGATAACAAGTTTTTAGCGAATGCTACGGTCTCATTGGCACTTCTCATAAATAATGTAAGAGCGACACTAGCGCTGTGAAAGCGTTCGAAGGCAGAAGTTCCCACCGAACTATCTTATCAATATCATTTTTATTATTATTATAGGATCTTTTTATTGACCCCTTAAAGTGACCAAACGTTACTATTAAACGTAATAATATTTGTTAGATGAGAAGATGTGCTTGTATGGTTTACCGCAAATAATGTTTCTCTAACAATAAATATTGTCTTTTAAAATTACTCTTCTTGCTTTAAAAGTAGGAAAGCAAAATTTTTCTAATATAATCATTAAAGAAGTTAAAGCGCGAAAAAATCCCATCAATTATTACAAAACGGAGAATTTACCCTAAGCTTTGAATTTTGTTAGTAAAGCCCTTTATTCAGAAATTGAATTAAGTTTTGTAATTTGCTATTTCCCCTTTTCCAATTCCTTGAATTACATAATTCATTGCGAAAATGTGATCCAAGTAAAAGCGTACCTCTTTAAACAAGCAAATTAGAATCACTATGATAAGTAGTGCTAGACAATCGACCACTTTGTTTCTTGTGATCAAATTATCAGACATAAATAAATACGTTATGTACCTTATGCACAATCGTTAAAATAAAAACATTTGCCAAGTCTCAATTAAAATTCTTTCTAGATAGCAATTAAGTAATTGTTTAAAAATAAGAAAAAAAAATAGTTACATCACTACATTTCGCTGTATATTTTGTACCTGACTTCCAAATCCTTTACAAATACTTTGGGTCTCAAATTAAAGCTTTGGGCAACACTGTCAAGATTGTAAATCCTTGATATTTTTGTTCATTACAAAAATTACAGTGACACAGTTTTGATTTTATAATCAATTACATCTGTGCTCAATCCTAGAGCTAATTAGATAACCTGTATGGACTTTGGGCATTTTTCAATCTAGTAATTGTACTGGCTAACATTTTTTTTTCTTGGAAACCATAAATTGTGCAATGATAAAACCCAAATAATTTTTTAGCGGCGTTCTTTATCAATTCAACAAAAGACAATTTCTCTGTTCGTTTTGCTTCAATATTTTCCGCTGCTTATAAATAATTCTTTATACTAAAGAGCATTACAAGGAGCTAAATATCGGCGTCCATTCTTTTAGAACATTCATACATTGAAAAGTTGAGGGTCATAGGTCATCTCTGATTCCCTTTCCAGACATCGTCTAGTCAGGATTTAAACGTAAATATCGTTGGTTTCACGCAATTTGGCATGTGTAATCTTTATAATGTATCAATACAAAATCTGAAAACTCAGGAGGAGCTGTTTTGCAGCATGCGGAAACTCTCATTGTTTGGTAGACGAGAGAGATCCAATATTTTATGACTTTAGTAATCAATAATCTATTTTTGAGGCATATTGGACGAATTTGCATGAGGTGATTAGACAACACTACTGGGGGCACACGTTATAATACCATGGGATCCAATGCTTGGCTAATCCGCCCTGTACAATATTATACATCAAAAGGAATGTACTCATGGGAAATGCTCGGGAAAATCAAAGAGTAGGTACTCACCATAGTCGTTTTCATTTGGGTAAAAATTGAAAATCAGGTTGGCAGTAACAATAACAAAAACAATCTGATCTGATATTTCTACTACCCAAATGCCCACACATGAAAGAGACCACTAAAATTGATATAAAACTGGCAATTCTACAGTGAGAAACTTGAACATCTTAAATTGCAATACAACTTTGCATTAAACAAACAAAAACTAAATGATTAAGTTGAGATTATCTATTTGCGCATACCACGCTCCAAATATGAGCAATGGAAGTAATAGATAGATTCTTCCGGAGATAATTTTTATCTTACTACAGATAAAAAAATAATCTTACAATCCTGCATGATTAATACCTACTTAGTCATACACTTATCCAAGCCCAATTGCACTAACACCATATTTTTTCCCAAAATTGCATGTGCCCTTTTGTTTTAAATATATGAAAGAAATAATTGTATCTTTCAGGGCTCATCTCAAGAACTCTCATTGGAAATTAGTTTGTTAGTGAATTCCCATAACATTGAATTAATCATAAGCAGGTTACGATAATTGGCAACTTATCACCAATATACTAATGGGTATTTCATAACCTTTTATCACCTTTTCATGATAAAAATTTAATATCAAGGCCAAACTGAAAATGCAGATTCCTACATTGATATGTGTTAATTTACTTATTTTTTGCTGAAGGTGATTTGCCTATTAATCCTTGCACCCCGATAGAATGATTTGTGTATAAAAAGTCGGTTGCCATGGCAACCATTGCAGTTGCAAACTTGCAACTGTTTATAATGCCTACTTACATTCCTTTCGTTCGAACATTTCTGTTTGTAGTTTAGGTGTTCCTCGTCCAGTGCAGATGTCTAAAAAACAAATTTAAAGATGTACAACAAATGGAGATGTCCATACCAGGGTGTGACCGTTTAAATATTTTCCATTTTTACGTAAATAATCTTCGAGATACTCCTGCAAGAAAAACAATATAGGTCACAGTCAAAATTATTTCATACACACCTTGTAATTATACCCATTTTGATATGTACTTGCGAATTTGTGTTTTGAGTCTTCTTTGTAATTACTGGTATCAATGCACTCGGTAATGGACACATCTGCTATAGTCTTCATTCTTAATCAAATCAACGATCACGATCACACCACCTTCCAGACTACCGCAACACCCTAACCTACAACTACGAGTGCATTAAAAAAAATGATAAGAATTACAAACGAATAAGAGAAATACGCCTGCGCCAGTAGGAACATTTTGCGATCGACGTTGCCAGAACGCTTTAAACCAATGAAAGTTTATTCATTGTTTAAACAAATAAGCTATGTCTTATAGTGTATAGGGTGCGCCAAATTATTTCCTTTCTAAGAGCATTTAGAAGGTGCTGGTGACTTTTGAAGACTCTGAAACTGTAGGCGACACTTACGAGGCCTTTCAGTTCATAAATGGCCTTAAAAGCGTTTAAAGAGGCCCCTTGGAGACGTTTCAATACATTTGTAGACGCAAAAAAGGTCAACCTTTAAAAGCTCTTAATTTCTTTGAGCGCCTTAAACGATTCTCAAAGACCCTTTAAGACCATTAAAAGTTATCAAAGACACAAAAGCTCAAAGACCAAGTACCCTACTATAATACCCACTGGGAGATTCTAGCAAGCCGGAGGCCCTCGGGCTCTGCCCCCCTCGGCATAAATATCGTCTTAATACCCTTGATACATAAATAACTACTAAAGCTTGTAAAAACCCTTTATACTACCGCGGAATAACTCATTACAAAAACACCCCACTTTACCCTCTCTTGGAGAAACGTAGTGCGGACCAGCGAGACAAGTTTAGGGATGCTTGGTGGGAATTGATAAATATTTTGATTGGTCATCCATTAAATAGTTATTTGTATAACTAGAGAAGAAAGTAGAATTTTTCAACTCGAGTTCAAATTGAAAAACACTTTCATCTCACGTTTTACACATAATTTTTTCTGAAACTACAATCAAAGTTATCGTATGCAATAATCACGTAGCAATCTAGATACGGGTATGTTTCAATTTTAAATGTCATTATCCTAGCAATTGTTACTTTACTTTCCTCACTAGAGAGGAAAATGACATTTTCTTCACCATTTTTAGAGATGAAAATAGTTGTTTCTCTGGTTTTCAGGGCCACTTGCCTTCCTTACGGACGCATAATGGAGAAAAGCGAAACCAGTCTAGGATTGTTAAGTAGACAATGTATAAATATTATGATTGGTAATCGATCTACACGCATCATCAATTCAAAATAATTTTCAAAATTAGTTGCCTTGGTAGGGTAGCATAAAGGGGACAAGTGAGACCATTTTAGAGATGGTTAGGGAGGATTTTTCCCACTTCCTTAGACTATAATCCTTCAGAAATATTCATTTTTCAATTGATCTAAGACAAGTCGACTTTCTATCATCTATGAATTTTAGAGGCAAGATTATAGCCTATGGTATAGTCTTTGGTGCAATAAGAAAACAGTATAATTGTCGTAAGAAATCTAATTTGATTGCCGAGCATTTCCACGAATACAAAGTGCAATGACTCAAGAACTGAAGCCCACTACTGACTGCAGGCAGCGCGAAGAGAGTTTGTTGATTGCGTTGTGGAACATCAATAATAACCGGATGCTGATTTTTCAAACAAAATCTTTTTTAGAGATAAAGCGCATTTTCATCTTGATGGTTTTCTAAATCCACAAAATTGTTGCATTTGGGGTTCAGAGAATCCACGAGCCATTGTTGAAAGAAAAACAGATCCACAACGTGTCGAATCAATCTTTCATTTTGCATCATTAGGCGATATGATCAATTGACATGAACTTCAAAGACAAAAACATGCTTTTTTATACTTTCCGCACCTTCATACACCTTAACTATACTGTTCATACTTTTGGTACCTAAACTGCAAGATATGTGTGCGGTAAATTCGCCCTCGAAAATTCGCACCCAAAGTAAATTCGCCGCTGGAATATTCGCCCCCAACAAATTCTCCTCCGAAAAATTCGCCCTTAGAAGATTCGCTCCCGTAGGTTCGCCCCATAACATTTATTAACCCTCGGAAGTAATAGGTTGGATTGGTAACATATTAAACAAAATTCATTTTATGAACTGCTGGCCCTGTTACCTCTGAGGATTAATAAATCTTATAGGGCGAATCCTACGGGAGCGGAATCGCCGGGGGCGAATCTTCCAGGAGCGAATTTGCCGGGGGCGAACTTGCCGGGGGCGAATTTTCCGGGGCGAATCTTTCTGGGGCGAATCTTACGGAGACGAATAGTCCGGGGGCGAATTTACTTGCGGGCGAGTTTTCTTGGGGGCGAATATTCCGGGGGCGAATTTACCGGGGCGAATTTTCGGGGGCGAATCATCCTACAATCGTTTTAACAGGACGGGGCTACATGTCATAGTCCGCGACATAATTCAGTTACTGCATGAGCCCGTTTTGGAAATCAGAATTGGCCGCCACGATCATGTCATTTAACACCCTTGGAATTTTTCCTTTTGGGGGTTTTTAAGTCAAAGGATTATGTCAACATGTTAACAACAGCACATGCATTAAAAGAAGACATCGAGCGATGTATCAACGAGATTCAGCCTCGTTCACATCAAACGGTTATGAAAAATTTCATCAAAAGACTTCATATGTACCAGCAAAGTCGTGGAGGCCACTTTCATGATGTACTGTATACAGGGTGGTGATTTGCGTCACGCATCATTGGGATTTCAATGTAAAAGTCATAACATGCGATTATTGCCTCCCCAAATTATTTTAGAGCTAAAAAGTAATAAGGTTTTTTGTAGGGAAAAATTTTTGACGTCAATCAACCGTATTAGTTTTCAATTTTTTGCATAATAAAGACGAAAAATTGGAAAAATAAAACCCGCATCTTTTTCAATAATCTGTGATGCCATGGAATTTTATAATACAAAAACTACGCCAATATCCGTCATGCCATGGAATGTCTGCTATGAAACAAATCACATTCTATCAAAAAGTATTATATTTAGAACAGCGAATTCAACATAAAGAAAGACCAAATTACTGAAAACGGTTTCCTAATAAGTATAACAATAAATGTTCGAATAAGTCACCATTAACTGCAAGACAATAACGAAGTCGATCATAAAATCCATTTCGAACTGCTGCTAATTGATAACTGGATATCTTTTTGTTTTAGAAAATTCCATGGCATCGCAGATTATTAAAAAAGATGGGGGTTGTATTATTCCAATTTTCCGTCTCGGAAAATTGAAAACTAATACGGTTGATTTTAACATAAAAAAGTTTTTCCTACAAAAAACTTTAATACATTTTTGCTCTAAAATAGATAATTTGGGGAGCCAATAATCGCATGTTATGAATTTTACATTGAAATCCCGATGATGCGTTACGCAAGTTACCACCATGTAGATTAGTAGCCACCATTCAAAAATGAATCAAGCAGTACGATTTATGAGATTTTAATATTCAATTCAAAGCCTCGATTGCTCTTAAAGTTTCAAAATTCAAAGTTCCTAGCTTTCGATGTTCAATTTTTTAATCGTAGCACAAAGAAGAGGATGATTTCATCAGTCCAAAACGCTTTCATCTCTATATTTAATAAACGTAGCTAACCACCTACTAAGAGAATCCTTCCGGAGTAGGTACCTAAAATTTCGAAGCGCAGCGAAGAAGTACTTCGAAATATGGCTACATACTGGAATCAGACGCACTAAAAAAAGAAATTTCAAATATTTAAATGCTTAAGATTTTATTTCCATTTATTTACGTTAACAAATTTTTCTAAAATTCCAAGTTATTTTTGTCTCGACTTGCGCATAGTGGGGAAGAAGTATGAATGAACTTCGTATGTTGGTGATCCGCAGGGCCGGCCCGGCGATACAAGAAACCAAACATTTTAGCCACGAAGATTCGAGCTTGTAAAATCGTAAATTTAGGGGAAACCAACGGATCGCACGGTATAGGTAGGTAAGTAAAGTAACGGGCGATCAAAAATGAGTTGCTGTCGAGTCGCCTTTGGAAGTTCAAGTTTTCCCATGTAAACAAAAGGTCCAAAGGTCATATTTTGCAGGTGCCTCCCCTGCCTTTCTAGGTACCATACAGCTCTTGTTACTCTCACTCTCATCGCTCCGTGGTCATCTTTTCCATCTCTCTATTATGGACACTTGACATCATTTCAAAAGGTAGCACTTCACTGGAATTTTGAAGGATCAAATGTAGCACCCAATGTACATACAACATTCGGCTCAAAGGACCAAATACAAAAATGGTCTGTCGCATCATTCTCGAGATTTGGTTGTAACTGCATACCAAACTGTTTGTCAAATGGCGCAATACTAAAGAATTGATTGATAGATTGATTCATTCTTTCTGTGAGAGAAGGTTTAATGTTTGCTATATAAACAAAATGAATTGTTATTAGTCTTACTGTTGGTGACGAATTAATAAATAGTGAAATTATAAATTTACGTGTGAATACAAGTATGTAAGTGGTAAGCAATAATTAATTGTTAAGTCAAATCTATTTAAAAACCGTTTTAATTTTAATATCTCGATATTAGTGTTAGTTACTGTGAACTTTAATAATGCATTGTACACAAATAAATCACGTTACTTTACGTTACACATTACAATAAAGATAAATGCGGTATTGGTGAAAACAAAACAGCCCGAAACATATTGTTACGACTTTTAATTGTGTTTAGGCGCTAAACAAACATAAAATCTTTTAATTGAAGTACCATCAAACAAATGTTCATATTATTTCCGATGTATTCGTTATAGGAAAATTAGGTTTTCGGAACAAACAACTTGATAAGAACCATAACCCAGCAAATATTTACTAGTTTGTAGGCGTACGATATGAATTCTCGCTCACCTTCATTTTTACGTTTGTAGCAGATAGTTTATATCTTCTGGTTTTCAAAAAACAGGATATCGCACACGATTTTCAGAGGGAAATTTTTTTATAGTCAGCTCGCATTTGGAAACACGACCTTTAATCCGGCTCATATTCAATAGCACTGATCTTTGAACTCCTACAAATCGTTTGGGGAGGGTCGCTGGCGCTTAAGACAAGGAACAGAAGGAGGAACGGGCAAAACCATCACATAAGGGGAATTTCTTTTCAAAAATTCCCACAAAAATCACCGAACAACATGATAAACTCATTGTTTAAACTCCAGTTACTGTGTGACAATTCCGAATATATTGATGACTGAAAAACATAATTTGAATATAGCGGTAGCGATATACGTAAGTCCAGATGGGCTATGCCGAACCTGTTTCTCAGTTTCTCCCTCCCACACGTTATGTGAAGAAGTTCGGCACCACTGTGAACGAAATACCTCTCAAATTCTTAAAAAAATTAAGCGCGATTCTTAAGATATTCATTACAAATGCAATATTGATTAGGTACATGTAATTTTTAGTACATATTTCTAAGGCAACATTATGGGGAATGCAATTGAATTGCGCATTGGTTGATAGTGGTTGGATACGCATGATGAATCATCCATAAAAGAGTAGGGTAAAAGGAGGGGTGGCCTGTGCCAATAAGAGCCAGGAATACATAAAAGTTTCCCCTTAGAATTTCTGCAAATAAACATTTAAATGGTGCGCTCCCGAACGACGAACAGAAATTTGTAAATTTGACGTTTGACAAGCCGTGGCATTTACCGGTGTTGTAAACTATAAATTCCTTGTGCGATATATTTACGAGTGCGTTGTCGAACATTTTTCCGGGCTGTGATAAAATGGATAACAAAGATTTTATAACAAACGGACGGGATCGCTCCCCCGGTGAGTTGCCCCAAATTCGTCGCGAGAAGGACTCCCTAGACGATTTCGAGCATTTGGGCCTCGACAATTCGCCTTTGCAAGAATCTTTAAAAGAGGGAGCGATCGGGGTGAGTAAGTCTGCAGACGCACGTGATGTTTTAGGGGGGATCGATAAAGCACTAGATTTGCCAGTAACGAAAGTAACTGACGACGACATCTTCGACCCCTTAAAAAAGGAAGTGCGAATGGATTCCAATCTGTTAGAAATGGGCGATTCTGCGATTACTGATAATAAGCAAGAGGACGAAAAATTAGATAGATTTCTGAGTGAGTTGACGAGTGCACCCACCGTTCCTTCGCATGACGTCTCACCCTTCGATAACGAACATAAGATCTTATTGGATGGCTTTAAGAGTGCCACGCAAAGTTTTATGGAATTAGAACGGGGAGACGTACCGGCGCCCGTTAAGACAAGCACTAATAACGACGATGACCGGTATGAAACGTACAATGACCCTGAAGTTCAAGAAGCACAAAGTGTAACAAATGTGAGTGCCAAAACGCCAGTAGATCACATTCCAAGCGATTTCCACACAGAAATAGTAAAGGAGGATGAAATCACACCACCAGTCAAAAGTAATATCTTGGAATCAGTACCCGAAGTTAAAAAAGTCGAAAAACTAGAGGCGCCAATCCCCGAGCAGCCGCCTACAATTCAAGAGCTTCCAAGACAAGTTACCCCCGAACCGAAGAAGGTTGAGCAGGTGGCATCCGTCGAGGCTCAACAGAAACCCGCAATCACCGACGCCGAGGCTATTTTTAAGAAAATGGGCCTAGGTATGTATTAATTGCAATTACCAATCGAAATCGTAAGTTACGTCCTTATGGATTAGCGGAAATTTTTGCGCGCAACCACCCTTACGTTGGCAAATTCCCCAAATCGATTCCACATGAATTACTAATAAGCGCACGGTATTTTAGGAGTCATATCGTGACTCATCAATTAAAATAATAAATATTAATAAGTGCCAGCAGAGCTTCCTCTTCCTCTCCATTCGCGTATATCCGCAAAATTAATTAGGGCGGTAGGTAATTAAAAATTCGGTCCGTAAATTTAGATTTAATTTGTGTACCTTTTAGTGAAGAAAGTTAAAAATACTGTGGAATTGATGACAACTGCTCGGCAACGTTTCCCACTCACAACTATCTTAAAATGTTCTTAATTGATACTGATTTGCTTTGATTACATACACATAGACGTAATGGTGTAAGCTGTTAAATAATTTGCTCTCAGTGTTATACGTAACAAAAACAGAAATAGCGTGTAGGTATTCGGTAAAGACAGTTATTTACGGCGTGTAATTAACGTAATTGATCAGAACTGTGACATTGCGTCACGACAGATGTAAAAAAGCTGGTAATTCTTGTTCAATGTCTTGAGATCGAGTTGCAGCTGCTTTGTTCTACAAAACCGTAAAAAAACCTTCAGGGATGGTTTTGGAAAGTTGGAACCACGGCAGTGTCTGCCAAGCGCTGCCGGGTGGTAGCGTTTTTTATTAGATGCTGCCCTACTTTGAAAGCCAAAAAAAGAAAGCACAGCAGAAAAATTCGGAACTAACTTAACTGAACTGAAAGCCCTTGTCCCTAAAGAATTTTACTTACCGATCGGACTGAAAATCAATAGTTTTAGCACTGACCACCTAAAACTATGCAAATTTTGGTCCGTTTCTAATACACCTTGCGCGGTTGCGGTTGAACAAACAATACATCCCCGTTATGCTTTAAGATACGTAGTGCAATAAACGAAGGTCGCTGAAATAAGTTATAGATGACCGACGATGCCCTTGGTGATGGAAATAGTATTCCTAATAAAAACGGCCACCGGACTTTACTGCCATGAAGTTAGCAGTAGCCTCACCCTGCCTAATTCTAGATGGGAAGTTAGCAATGGAATTTCAAAGTCCACTTTTGGGCGATATTTCCATAAACCAAATTACCGATTTGCGCATGGAAAATGATATCTGTATCAATTTGAAAATATAATCAACGCCTGATAATGACGATACAAATTCTATTTTAATCGGGCAAGATACCAAGACAAAGTCTCTTCAAGTTCAGAAAGATTCAGAGATTGCACTTAGGCGGGATTTCAAGAAAAAGTTCCGTTGTCACTTTTTTCGAAATCGGGTTGCATTCTAATCGATTTGAAAATATAATCAAACCTTGGTTTTATTAGATAGAGTAATTATAATAAACATCTATTTTTATAGGGCAAGGCGCCAAGGCAGTCTCATTTTAAACAAAAGAGGTAACTGATTTCATACTTTCGAATTATACACGTAAAAAACTATCTATATCGATTTTAAAACATAATCAACCCTAATAAACAAGTACATTTAGTTAGTGCTCTTTAGTGCTCGAAGCTTATCGTTAGTGCTGCTACTAACATGAGAAAAATAAAAAATTCGTGAAACCGCGTGTGAGCAAGAGGCGAAGAGTGCACTTTCAAATTTGTTTTTTAGATTTTAATAGCCCTTATGGACATTACATGTCTTAATGAGAATGAACATGAAATAATTTCTGATCGAATGACACCAATACCGAGTCTGTAAGTGGTATACTGAACCCGAGAGGGTAACATCTTCCCGCAATACTGTCACAAATTGACTGCAATCGCTTGCAATCCCTCTGATTGCTGAATGCTGTGGAAATCTCCCTCACAATCCCACAATCGCGTTTGCAATCTCACAATCGTCTAAAACAATCCCGCAATCAGATTCGCAATCCCGCAATCGTTGTGACAATCTGACAATCACATTGGCAATCGTGCACGCCCTCACCTGTTTTTAGGTTCAATCACACGCCACGCGGGGTTAGGCAAAAAAGTTATTGCACCTAACTTTATTTTTTTAAATGGTAAGCCCTGTACTAGTTAATAAACCCCTAAATCGGTTCTAAAAAAGCGGCACAGCACCTCGGAATAACCATTGAGTAATTAAATATCCTTCACTCAACGGAATAACCCTACACCTCATTGGATTTGACTCACTTTCAATTGCCTTGGATTTGACTCATTTTCAATTACTTTGTTACATGTGGTATGTATGTTAACTGTGCAAAGTTTCAACCGAATAGGTTCAAGCGTCTGGCACAGACAGAGAGGCGTGACCCCAAGGGGGTCATTGGATTTGACCCATTTGCAATAGGCTTATTACTTGTGGCATGAACCAAATCGGTCCAAGAGTTTGGCAGTTATTGTGTTTACGGACGGCCAGACGGACACCATCAACTTCCCTATATAAAGCTTACATCGCTTTCATCTGCCGCTTAATAATCTACAAATATAGCATATTAACTTTTAAAAAATATAATACACTAAAGATGATTCAAAAAGGGCTCAAAAAAGATTTAAAAAAAGGTCAAACGATTTGGTAAATACAATAAAATTTCAAAAAAATTTTTGAATCTTTCGGTTTTTTAAATCTTTTGAACCTATTGAAATCAATATGGAATTTTTGTAGTGTTCTATTTTGGAAAAGAGATTCTTAATATGTTAGTTTTTGATTAAAATATTTCAATTTAAAAATGGACGTAGGAAATTCAAAAAATTGTAAATCTCAGAATGAGCCTATATTTATTAAAGGTGATATAGAAAGATTTTTCTTACAAGTTTCTTTATAAGACTGTTGAATAATCTGCCGTTTTAAAATAAGTGTACGGGATCAGGTAAAAAAGTTATAGGACCTAACCCGAGACCTAACGTCATTTTTTAGTGGAATGCTCTGTATATTTCATTCGAAAAAGAGCATATTAAATTCACTTTCTAGAAATATAACACTATTATGCAATATTAGATTTTTCAAAAAATTTCAAAATGTTTAATTTTTTGTTGTTTTTTAATATTTGAACCTTTCTTAAATGTTTTAATTCTTTTTTAATAATTTTGAATTTTTTGCGATTGCGTTATATATTAAAAAAGAAAATGGTAATATGCTATCTTTTTAGATTAAAACATACAAGGTATCCTATTTAAAAAATGAGGTTTTTTTATGGATATCGTATATGTAACCTATTTTGAAAACGGCAGATTACCCAGCAAGTAATTATGTAATAAACATTTTTTCGTGTCTCTTTTCATCTGATATTGACAATTTTTGATTTTCCCTTGTATCTCTGTAAGCGAGCGAATGTTTTCAAATTTTTATTGTGTCATTTTTTAACAATGGCCCAAAAAGAGCACATGCCACTTAGTTTGACTACCACAAAAATAAAAAAAATTACTATTGTGGCCACTTTGCCCGTCCGTCCCTAGCTTTTCTACTTTTTTCGCTATTTGGTTCGTTATGCTGTCAAGATTTGCACCAAGGAAGGAATTTTTTCTGTGCCGCTTACGAAAAAAGTTATGGTAAAAAAACCATTTTTTTGAGATTGTATTGTGTTGCTGTCTGTCTGTATGCCCGTCTGTCAGTGTATCTGTCTGTCTGTTTGTCCGTCCGTGCGCACGATATTTTGTATTTGCGCAATCCATTTTTTATTTGTTAAATACTTTAATGAAACTTTTTATGCAGGCTATAGATGTAGATGGCGACCTCGACTAAAGTAAAACTAGTGCAGAGTCAATAAATATGGATTTTTTTATTTGTTAAGTTATTTAAATGAAATTTTGTACGTACGCATCTCGAATAAAGATGAAACTAATGCCAAATCAAATAATTTGTTTTGCGCATGCTCAGAAATACCCTGAAATTTTAGGGTAGGGTTCTTTTTATAAACTGAAATTGAAGCAGCAAGTCAAAAATGGATTGCACATGTGCAACACTAACTTTCTTATTTGTGGCCGGATTTTTACGAAATTTTAAGTTTAAGTTTGCTTGCATCTTACAGTATGGGAAATGAATGCAATTGTAATGCGCCTTTTATAAATCGTTTACGACGAGGTTTACGATTACTTTTTTAACTTCTTATTTGTGTATTTAAAAGTACCTGTTACCAACTAAGAATTCCCTAATAGCCAATATAAATGAATATGTTTCTTGCTTAGGTAATGTCCGTGTATAGCAACTTGAGCAGGTACCAAAAATCTTTGTCAGTCACCCACAATCACCTGCAATCATTTACAATCGTCTGCAATCATTCATAATCACATGCAATCCTCTAAAATCCTACAATCCCATCGCAATCGCCGGATTGTGGTCGCAATCGCAGCAATCGTGGGGAAATCATGGGGATTGTCGCAATACTGTCACAAAATTTGAGAAGATGTTACCCCCTCGACTGAACCTATAGTTGCGAAAGAAAGGGGGTAGGCACAATGGGCTTTTGGTGTGCCTATAAGTAATGCCCGGTGAATAGAATCAATGTTCAAGGTATCGTCTGCATCCGCCATTTTTTTAAAAAATGGGGTTGCCATTGGCCTCGGAAGTGACTATCTACTGTCGGTAATTCCGGGACCACCATTTTGACAATATTTTACATCGATTCGGCTTTCAGAGTAACTCCCAAGTGCAAAGTTTACAAAACCTACCTCGAGACCTATCTATTTCAGTTTCCCAGAAACGTTTAACTGAAGCAGTGAAGCTCCCAACAGAACACTCTGATTCACAAAAAAATAGTTTTTGAAATGAACTGTGACAGTCATCGTTATCGTTTATTGATTCTAATCAATCCCTACTAATTAAATTAGAAATTCCATTTCAATCTTGCGTAGCGTCAAGATAAAGCCTCCCACGAGGCCTCCCTCTTTAAAAGAGGCGACTGATTTCGTAAATCAGATTGAAACCATATCAATTTGGAAACATAATCCACCGCTGCTCCTTCTATTTTAAGTATTCCATTTTAATTGCGTAGCGCGTCAAGAATTTAATAAGTATAATTAGCAACCAATGTACAATCCATTTTGTACAAAAAAAAATGTCGCTCGGAGACTAATTAAAATAGAAATTTTAAGAATTAGGATAGCTTTTGGGGCACCCTGTATAAATAATAGTAGCAAATAGGAAATTGTATGTATAGGTCAAACAAACTTTTTTTTGCAAAACCTGATAGGTAGAAAATGAGTTAGAGGGGTGTCAAAATATACGAATAGTCCGGTACAGGGGTCTCAATTAAAATTGGCACCCAGTAATAAGTCAGATTTCGGAAAAATAACAAACGTTGCTCAGGCCGCTGGAGCGCTCAATTTTACTTCATTTTCAAGTGGCGCCATCATACTGCTTTCGTTGTAAAAAAAGTAACACTTTCTGTACGATTTTGCGTTAAAAAGTCCGGTAATTTGATAACTATGCAAAAAATCACATTTTCTTCACCCTTTTTGGAGACGAAAGTAGTTGTTTACTGAAGTAGTTCAAGAAAAAAACATATTTTACTGTTATTTGTAAAAAGTTATTCAGAAGAAATGGCATAAAAGGGCGATTTTTTCATTATTTTCTTAATGTTACGTCACGAAATTTTGGGTTTAGCATCCCAAGAAAAATATTAATTATGCAAGAAATTAAAACTACGCCACAAATGGGCTACGAGGGGCCGTTTTGAGTACGAATTTACTTATGATTGTCGAAAAATGCACATAGCCCTATGCGAGAATAGCTTAAATTAATGAAACATTTGCCTCATTAGTAAGAAATATTGAGTAAAACCTATGCATTATTCATCATGCCCTTGCAGGTCATTTGTAATGGGTTTCATTTGAAATGTGCATCAGGTAATAAAATAATGACCCCAAATTTTGTATGCCTGGGGGAAGGGATAAGTATACAATTGAGCATACATGTAGTTTATACTCATGACATTCGGTTAACGAGGTGACTGACAATTTACACTAGACTTTTTTTAGATTAAAAAAGACAAGGATTTCTTATCAAAATTCGGGTCCATAGTCTACAAAGAGGGCCCTTAGAAAAGCGGTCGATATTGTGAACGCTTGCTCAGTTCTGCTGTTTCCGCGCATCTATGTACACAAAAGTGGAGGTGCACGTTACGTTGTGTAATTTTATACTAATTTAGTGTTGTTTTCTCTGTTATCTACATCGGCGGTAAACAATGGAAGACGAAATAAAAACGGTCGCGCACGCAGTCGTCGACGACGTTATAAACGGCGTCGCCAATGAACTTAATAAAGTTCGAAGTGCTCCAAAAGTTGACAAGTCGAAGCAACGTTCACTTCTTTGCGTCTTCTTTGACCCTCGTACGTATGTATAAAAGATCCTTCATCATTGTTACAATTACAAACAAAACAATCGAATGGACTTCGTTTGGGGGCCATTCTGCGTACACGTGATTGCGAAATCTTCAGTACCTACTAGTTTTGTTCACTTTCATAATTGTTTACCTGTTTGCCTCACGCTGAAATTTAATACTCTGGGCGAGGTACCTACCTAATACGTAAATACTTATCTATTTGCACAAACTTTATCGCACCTAAACTTTTGCTTTTACCTCCAAATTTAAGCCTCTCAACGAACTGTACAAAGATCAATTAGTAGTGTCGCTATTCTAAGGTCAAACAGTTTAAAATTCCTTCTGCTTACTAACTACTAATAACTCGTCCTTTTACAGATGCATGGTTTCATCCTGAAAGGCTTAATCCCAAAGGTAAGTTACTGCCGTCTCTCTCCTTCTCTTATCACAAACTACGTCTATTATTAACAATCAACCATGATTTGTATTGACGGGAAGTTCACGGTCAGTAGATTTAGAAAGAGGACAAACAAACCGCTTATTTTTGACTTGTACGCGACGATCACACTGCAGGGAAGGGAAACAATCCCTTTGGGACAATCCAAAAAGTGGCGATCTTTAAATTGAAAGCCAAAAGGTTACCGTGTGCAATGCGTGTAACTCATTAATGCGGGGCGATTCTGTACAAATTCTATTGATTTAGGATATTCGTACGCATGCGTAGACGTCTTGCATCAAGGGGTTGTTTCGGGTGTATTTACCCTTATCACGTCGTATAACCATTTTAAAGTGGGATTCTGTACGGTATATCGCTCTATTGTTTTGCAAGGCAAATTGTACATAGATCTTGTGAAACAGAAGTGTCGTCTACACAAAATTAGAGCTGATTAACGGGCGGTTTGCCAAAGACTTACCCTGGACTACTTCGACGCCATTCTGCCTGCACCGCTATTAACCGAAGGTACACCTTACTCATCATGAACATCTTTAAAGTTCGGAGAGAGCAGTGTAAGTTTCCTTTTATTTTGAATTGAGTGCGTTTAGTCACAAAGTTTGAGAGGTGTGGGTGGGTTTTTAACTCAAGCTTTTGATCTTTGTGGCGGACGTGGTAGAGGGCGGCGTGTTGTGAGTGTGAGCTTTCATTTCGGTTGATGCTTTTTACATTTTCGCGAACGTTAAAAATAGATTAAGTTTTTATGAATTTGAAAGCATCAATGACTTAGCTTTCAGCCGTAGTGCCAAATTTTTGCTAGGACTGCAGTGATATTTGGCCAAGTTATGACAAAGGTCAACATTCTTCTACTTCATCACATCATGTATACTGTATACAGTGTGTCCAGTACGAAGCTTTTATTTGAGTGCAATTATTACCGCTCGCTTTATATACGGGCGTCGATAAATCAATCATGTGTGTTCTTAGATTACTCATGGTCATGGTGCCTTTCCAATCAATTTGTTAGTCCTATTTATTTATACGGATATTGTAATCGTTGCCATTATCAAAGGACCGGTGACGTTGTTTTGTCAATTTAACAAATACTTTACGTAAAGTTTCACGTTATTGTTACACGAATTTATTGATCTAAACTAGTTTAATGTAGGAAAAGAACCGAGAAATGCAAAAATTCTAGATTCAAAAGTCAATGCACCAGATCTAGTGGAATGGTGAAAGTGGCGCCAGTTTTATACACGCAGCAGACACTTCGAGAACGCTAGTTTTTTTTAGTTCTAAAACTTAGGCCTGTATGCGACTTGCGAAATGGAATTTTCATGGACGCTTATCCCTTAATCATCTGCTTACCAAATTCAACAAAAATTCAATTGCGGCTCAAAGCAGGAAGACATTTGTTGCCATTATGCATCTCTCATTTAACTGGTCTTTCCGAAAAGACGTTTGTACTGGTTTGCAAATGGTGATATCTCCATTCATCTCCAAATTTAATTATTTCCCGTATAATATGAACAGTTTTTAGGAGAATTTTTCGAAAGCCGGATTAAAAGTGATGGTTTTGTCCGCCCGTCTGTTCCTCGTTTAACCCGAGAACGAAAAGAGGCAGCGATGTCAAACCAATTGATGTCTATACGAGTTCAAGGATCAGTGAATATGAGCCGTATTTTCGAATGCGGGCTCCTCTACTGAAAATCGAATTCTGAGCAACAAATATCGCGTACTAGACTATTTCCTTGCAAACGTTGTTTATTACAAATACTGTGGCAGTTGTCATAAACTGATTTTGATTTCGACTTGAATAACGTTTGAATCTGCTTTTTGTCTTACTAGTCATGCCTTAACTTAACATGATTTTAGTAAGTGGATTTATTGCCGAATTTTTTATAAAATAATGAGAAATACACCTGAAAATCAAATTATTCGTATATCATTACATGAAGAAAAAATCTTCTTTTGATTGGTGTCATTATAAACCCTCTAAGTTAACATGGGGAGCAACTCGGGGAGCAACTATCTACAAAAAACCGTTTTCCAATGTTAATTCCCTATGTGCGGTTTTGCAATATTCACCCGGTATGTAAAAATTAAAGGAAAACATAATACGGCCTAAAAAATCTGGAGATATTACAAGACTCCTTACTTTTTCAGAAGCGAAACTAAAATAAATGCCCCAAAGTCGCATTTCCACCCCACAATGGCGAGTTCTTACCTACGTCGCTGAATCAACCCACATCAGATAGTTTTTTAAATGTGTTGCGACATGCTAATTACGTAAAGACAGATTGAATAATCCAAGTATATTTTAATACACAATCAATCTCTAGGTACTGATTGTCTTATAAATTCCATTTGGGGTAATTGAAATGGAATCTTCATTATACTAGTGGAAATTGATAACTAGTTGGCCGGGACGATTTTCAATAACAGTGGTTTGCATAACAGTCGGAAAAATGCAACTGACGATGAAATATTTATTGATTTAATGTCCGAGTCAAGTAGTGTCATTTTAGTGACGTTTTGTATTACATTGTTGCCGAAAATCGTCTATTTTAATTAAAATTTCAATTTTCATATAGAATTTAACGTGCCAATTTTGACATGAGTGGTAAAATCACAAGGCAGGAAAAGTAGTTGGGGAAAGTGTTACTGGAAACTAAAATTTTCCGACATAAATTAGGCATCAAAATGAAGATTTCATGACGATTTCCGGAAACCAACATTGAATACATTGCAAATATCTCGAAAATGGTACCTAACGAAGCAGTTTTGTAAATAGGTAAAGCAATTTGCTTTGAAAAGAGGTCCTATATCATAATCGTTACTGAGACTCCAGGATTAATAATTAATATCATCACTTTTTGGTTTTGTCCGTCTGTCTGTTCCTCGTCTAACTCGAAAACGAGTTATTGATGTTATTAAAGAATTTTTAACATTGGACTCAAAATTCAGACACCATATTACCGCGCGGATAGATTTTTTAATAGAATTTTACCGCTAACAAGCCGAATTGGATCACAATTCTATAGATAGAGACTTTGTTCACTTCCCGATATTTACACATCCACTACTGTCAATTGCACATTTTAAAATTCCATAAAACTGCAAGTTAGTAATACGGGTAGCTGTAACATGGAATATTGCTGGACCTGTTCTTCAACCCGTTAACCTTATAGTCTTCATGGAAACACTTCTGGCGACATTTTAGCAGCGTTTTGATGCAAAATGATCTCTGTTTTTTTTTGTTCGATGCCAATCCGAAACATTTCTACGTATTACCTAATAAATATGGCTCCTTCTGTTTACTGTTATGCATTTTCTATCAGACAGAAATTCTACCTGATCAAATTAATGCCAACTGAAAATAGCATAGCAGTTAATTGATTTGAAACAGCATAGAAGATGAATGAAACTATCGCGGAATTGAGGCACTCGAGAGTTATTACTTATTACTTTTCTTTAAGGGTCCTAATAAGAAGTTGTCACGTTTTGGCGTCATTCTCATTTATAGAAGTAATGTTTTCAAATGTCATCGAAATATTCCCATTTTTGTAATGTTTAAAAAATGGCGTCAAATGTGAAATTTATACAGGCGACATTCCAAAATTATTTTATCTTTTTAAACGTTCACTGGATTTGTACTATTTTGCGACACTTTTTCTAAGATGGATCAATTATATGAGTAAAAATAAAATCATTATTTTTGTTACAATAGAGTTTGTACTCTCTTGTAGTACACCTGATAAATTGACTGCCCATGTGTGGGATCTAATAAGAATGGAACGTTAATTCTCAATTGCCACATAAAACAACACGATTACATTGCTTCCGTTTTAATTAAATCTCTTGGCGATACCGACCTTGTTTACTACATTAACGATAACGATTAAACGATAGAAGAATGTCGATCGTTTCACCCCAATTTTGTTCTATTCTCTATCCCTTTTTGACGGCTCTCGTCTACCATGAATCCTATTTGAGTATTTTTGGAAATTATTTTCAATGGCCCCCTAGTCCATAAATGTAAAATTCTAACTATGATTAGTTATAAGATAGGGTGAACGACCTAGTCATGTCGTTAATTTCGAAGAGGTCAAAATATGCATTTTGATAAGGTTTTCGCGAGGTAACTTTAGCGCATTTTCCATGAATGGATCAGTAGTTCCCGAAAGGTCATACAATTGACTATTTGTGTGTACAAAGAAAAAGAAATTGGGTGGTTAAAGTTTCAAAAAAACATCTCCATAGATAAGAAAGATAACATTGCGAATGGGCTCATTAATCGTCAGGATTTTTCTTGATTCAGGTGCCAGATATAAGCTACCGAATTCAAAAAGAAACTAAATATCTTGAAAACTGTAGGAGTAGTTAAGGCCTCGGACGGACGGAAAAAGTGGTCATAACAGCGCGTTCCGGAAAATGCGCTAAAAATGATGTATCGATTCACTTAGGCAGACCTCGCCGACATACATTTATGACGTATGGTGCCGAAGTTCAAGAGGTATCCCAGTACATAGAGGTTTCCTAATGGGAAGATTCCAACGCATCGATTTTTTTCAATTCAATTCAATTTCAATTCAATTTAATTCTTTCCCTTTGGCATACGACAGTACATAGGACGCGTCATACATAAAAAAACATTAAACTCACGTGACACAACATATAGATAAGTTAAAATTATGTAGATGAGTATCACAGGTTTCATAAATACTTCTGAGAGAACCCTCTTCATCTCACGATGGGTAATTTCCTCCATATCCCGGTTGATTTAAATTCCTTGCACAAGCACACCCAAATACTATTTACACAGGGTTAATCCCCTGATAATTCGCTTTTCCGAAGTTCCATCACTTTGGTACACAAAAAGGCCGGTTTATACACAAATTAGCGTTTAACTTTCAAGATTTGAAACTTAGGGTATATGTCTAGTGACGTTTCTAGATTTCAGATTTAAGCATTTCACTTTGAAAGCTGATTGTTGAAATCTTAAATCTGAAGTGTTAAATTTTAAATGTGTTAAATAAGGTGAGACATGCGTATTTTACGAAAGTGTATTATTCAAATAGGTAATAAATTCAACAAATGTTTAACTCCATAAGTGAGAACTGAAGTGCACAGTTGCTCGTATGTTTGTGAATGCGAATAATGATATGCGACCAAATTCAGTTAAACAGTACTGCCTTTTTAACTTAATGTAATTACAGAATTTAATAACTATTTAATTTACATAAGTAAGTGTGCTCGCCTTGCATAGATATCATCTTGCTCATTAACATTTTCCCAACATTTTAGGACGATCGCGGCTGTAATTATGAGTTTACAAGAATTCGCCCTCGTTATTACATTTACTTGAGAATGTTTTTTTTTTAAATTTTTAAATCCTATGGAATTAAAACAAGTAAAAAGGTTTTGAGTAAAGCACATTTTCCATGCATTTATCAGTACTTCCTAAAAGGGTATTATGGCTATGTTTTCCACCAAAAGCATCTATGGTTAAAATTTCAAAGAAATATCTTCATAAATAAGTAAGTTGTGTGCAGAATGCGTATGCGTACATCTAATGTTTATAATATGCGATATGTTTATCTTTACTAGAAGTATCTCTGCCTAAAATTTCATCAAAATATATATTAATAATAATAAATACGAAAGTTAATATTGCGCAGCATGCGTACACTAATCGTCAAGATCTTTCTTAGCTCAGATGCCAGAGCTATAATAAGGCACCGAGTTCAAAAAGAACGAAGTTTAAATATATTGAAAACTGTAGAAGAGTAGTTAAGTCCTCGGACGGACAGACAGAAAAAGTGGCTGCTATAACGCACCCAAATTCAATTAAAGCCAAAACAATTTAAATTTAAAAAAAAGCGACGAGTCAACTTTGAAACGTTGCGTAACATGTCCGTGGTTACGTTACAAGCATTGACTATACAGGTGGTGTGTATAATCAATGGTTACAAGTCATTTGTACAAGTGGATAACCACCTTTAGCTGTGTTGAGTAAAAATCCTTATTTGTGCCCCGTCTTTAAAACGCCACGCCTCATCCTGGCCAATCTTCTTTCATTAGTTTACCTGAAAGGTCCAAGATAACCAGATTAAGTAATGGTTCATAGTATTTCTGTACACCCTCAATATAACGTGTAGCAAGCAAAATAGATTAATCATTTATGTACAAGTTATTATAAATTGTACTACGCACCGTCCTTACTTTTCTTAACTATAAGCAGAACGTAAACCTTTCCATTTATAGAGCTAATCTAATCTGAAGCCACAGAAAACATGGCTTGATTGCGTTTCCGGCCATTTTCGGGTTTTGTTTAGATAAAGTGCGTGTCGCTACAAGTACAGCATTTGACATGAAGGTAATCCACCCAAGTAATTCGTCCTGCACATCGGCATTCCAAATGTGACGCGTTCAAATTATAGAAAAAGTATGATATTTTTGTGCCTAATTTATGCCGCCTGGCTTGTGACGCCCTGTATCTGTACCCAAAAGTGCTGAAACGACGAGAGCACCGTGCCGCGATCCCTTTATGTACCGTAGCTATATGGGTCAGGTAAGCGCTTGGGTGGTGGCTCGATAGATGTCATTCTCATTGGTCCAGGTTAGATGTATCCACATCACAACTTCCACTGCTTGCCACTTTCTTGTTTGCATTGCTAAGTTACCTATATTGGACTTTGGATAGGTGTCCATGTGAGATCCACTAGAAATCCAAGTCTCTCCAAAATCATTGAGTCTTCTCATGCCAGAAAAAGTGGTCGGCGGTATCCTCACCAAGTTACATATCCATGGCATCCAAAGAATGCATTACAAAAAACTGACCAACTTTCTAATTGAATGGGACACGTGGATGTGCATGAAGGTCCCAAATTTTTCTCTTAAAGAATTGCATAATGGAACCTCATTGACACATTGTAGTGAAAGGGAAATCATTTGTATCGCAATTCCGAACAAACTATTGAAACAATGAATCACTCCATGGCGGCCATGCACCTGAACGGAATTTAATAGTAATCGCGCAATAAATACGTACAAGGTTAAAACCCAGAACGATCTTCGCCCATACATTTGCATATTAATGAACTGCGAGACGCGATAATTGTAATCGCAAAAGACTGCGAATTGCCCAATATTTCGATAACGCTGAACTCAAAAATCTGATGATGAAACTTTGAAAGATCACGACCTATTTTTAGGCTGCATTGTCATCGATCGTACTTGACTGCTTTTGACACCGGTACCAGAGGAACAACAACAGCAAGAAATTCCACCGCGTGCAGCTCGCCGCACTCGAAGAGCTGGTTTTCGCTTCGTCACAACGGTCAGCAACCATCATTTTCTCGCTCGCACGTTTTGGACGGCGAAAAAAGGATGGCAAAGGTTACGTGCGATAAGTAATCGTATAAAGTTTTGTCGACCAAGTTTTTCTTTCTTTTTTCTATTACCTTTCACGAGTGTGGTTTCGTTTTAAGTAACGTTTCGCGCGACGTGGTACCGTAAGCGTGCTTTTTACACATTTTTCGGTATTGTTAGGGAACAATTGGATTTGAGCGTGTAACGGATGCAAGATGGTGCGCAGACAGAATAGTTACAGGCAACAAAAGGACGAGGCACTACCTGAACGTGGCCCCGGTAAGCAATGCCACATATGGAAACTTTTTTATTACATGTGCGATTGGTCTAAGAATAAGTGATAAAATTAGCTCATCCAATGTCAATGTCAAGAACTTTTATTTTTGTGTTTTTTGTTTGATCGAATTTGTTGTTGATTTGTTTTAATGCATTTCCACAATTTTCTTAAGGCGTGTGCGATTTGTTCAAGAATCTCTTTCGCGTGGTAGGTACCCAAAAATGATCAGTTAGACCAACTTTTCCTGGATTGTACCTATTAACATTTAAATCTACCAAAAACAGTCGCATTTCCGTTTTTACTCCTTGCAAATTGATAATTTCCCACCAGATTTCACTTTGGATAACGTGCCCTAAGCACATACATACATTGCTTCAAAAACTGGTGCAGACTGCGCGAAAAGTACCTACTAAAACAGTCATTCTTTCTATTTTTATAAATTATTTATTAGATTTTGTATTGTTTTGTGCAAGTTTATTTAACTAATAGCAGGGTAAATATATCATGGTGCTACTTTAATTGACTTTCAAACTGAAAACCTATGAATTTATGAAAAATCTACCACATTTTCAAACGGATCCGGTCTTAATTCAGTGGCTGGATCAATACTAATATAAATTCTTTAAGAGATTTGCCATTGGCTGTCATTTTTCAATTTAAGTGACTTTTAATATATAATTAATATCCACTTACCCTCAAAGCAGCAATAAACAAGGTTTTCAAATTCGGCGATCCCAAACGTTAATGGACAATATGCAAGTACCACCAAGGCTTCAAGCTATAATTTTATAAGTGGGCGGTTTCTGCGACTTTAGAACCATGGCTGTCAACTCTTCTCATTCTGAAATAAATAGGAATCAATAATACGTTTTATACATTTCACGTACTTACATGAAACCATTAAATTTGAGCAATGCAATAGGTGTGGTTTTATCCCATAGTTCGATTTAGGTTACAAAAGTATACTTGAAGAATGCTGCTCGATAAGGTCCACTGAAAATAGGAACTGTAATTTTGGTATCCCTATAGCATAATCTCTAGGTACTCATCGTCAAGTTTGAAAATTATTTCTAAAAAATAGCGTAGTTATGCGTATCAATTTTATTGGCGTTATTTAAGGGGTGATGTGTGCAATATGCATATTTATTCACAAAAAAATATGCAAAATTTATTGCTAACTTCACACGAGCGTGTTTAGGGATTTTTGTTTATACTCTTAGTTGCCTAGCAATTTTGTTAGAAACCTTTACGCAACCTCGTAAGAAACGTATCTTCACGTCTCGCCGATCTTTTATGGCGCCTCGATGTCTATCGGGATTTCTAGAACATTCGCTAAAGGAATTTTGTATGAATTTGTAAGTTTTTCTATGGAGCCGTTTGCCGACATTTTGCTCCACTTGGCCTAAAAAAATATACAGAACATTAAATTTTTTTAATTCTGTGGATGTGGTCAGGACCAACAATATGTAATCTGCAAGGTCGCACTTGACCAAAACCAAAAAAAACGCAGGCTCTTTCCAGTTGTAATTTAGTAGATCTTTATTGTCTAAAAATAATCGCCAACGTTCTATTTTTAAACTTCTATGGTTAATACACATAAGTGCGGCCAGAGCGATGCCAAAATTCGTAAATTCCGGCGTTGCACAGCGCTAATAGTACTTATTTATTCTGAGCGAGTGAGATATAATAATTTTATTAACAATAACCATTATCACCGCATATAACCTTGTCATTATTGAGTTTTAAGTTCGACGTTGGCTAACAGAACAGTGTGATTCACTCGCCCGTGCTATTCACATATTTTGCCTTTAATAGTAAGCTATGTTGGTAATATCCCTGTAAGTAAAAATTTGTTTTCTGTTGCAGTGGAAAGCCTAATCTACTGGCGCGACCCGAAGAAGTCTGGCCCAGTGTTTGGTGGTTTCCTAGTCGTACTTTTAGCGTTAACTTATTTATCACTTATTAGCGTGGTTGCTTATGTGTCTTTACTGGCATTGACTGCTACAATTTCCTTCCGTATATACAAGAATATAGTTCACGCCGTACAAAAGACAGGCGATGGACACCCATTTAAGTAAGTAAACCACCCACCTAACACGATTACATTGTGAATTCGCAGAGAGTTCTTGGAAACAGATCTATCACTACCTCAGGAAAAGGTGAAAGAAGTGGTGGAGGTAGCCATTGCACATATTAATGGGGGACTAAACGAGTTACGCCGTTTATTTTTGGTCGAAGATCTTGTGGATTCTATCAAGTTCGCCGTACTCCTATGGTGTCTCACCTATTTGGGAGCTTGGTTCAATGGAATGACTCTTGTAATAATCGGTATGTAACCATTAATTTCTTTTTTCCAACAATTTATTACCATTTAATCACCGCCATTAAATGATGCGCAATTGCCAATTAAAATGTTATCTAAACTTAGGTCATAAAGAAAGATTTATTTTTTGCAGCATGGGTGGCTCTTTTCACGCTCCCGAAATTGTATGAAACTAACAAGACGCAAATTGACGCGAACTTGGACCTTGTCAGATCCAAAGTGGCAGAAATTACATCAAAGTAAGTGCAGTCGGTGATGGTTACTCGGAAGATCATTGTCTGTTTTCAGGGTTAAAGGGGCAATACCAATCGGTAAAAAAGTGGAAGAGAAGAAGGAGCAATAGATTATCTATAACTGACTACATAGTAACTAATTATCAAGCTTATTTTATACCACTTCGATGCTCAGTTAAATTCTGAACTGCACGTATCCTACCTATACCGTATTCAAGTTATGTATATATTACCAATTTTAAAATGTTTTGTTTAGTGATATTGTTTTTATATGATACAATATTTTGATGAAAAAATGCATCTGCTTACATATTATAGATCACTATTTAAGTTATAGATTTAATAAAACCGTTACGTCTGTTTTATTTCCTAGGCAACTGTATTGCTTTTATAAAACCTTATGTGCTAGAGCGCACATTCCATCTTTCAATTTAAAATGTGTATGAGAAAATTGAATATATATTATCTATTTTACTGTTAGCTGTAAGAAGTGTCAGTCGTTGCTAGATTTCCTATTGAAAAACTCTTGCGGTTAATTCGTTTTGGTGGTTGAAATTTTATTACATCAAAAATTTTGCGACTCCTTCAAGGAGGTTTAATAATGTTGTAAGATCAGTGTTTTAAATTTTTGTATGACCAACTATAATGGTGATCAACATCCACAGTGTAACTGTGTAAATATGAACATTTTTTGCGGTAGTGTGTCTAAGATAATTTTTGTTAAGATAGTAGGTATATCAATCTTTTGTTTAGAATAGAATGTTGAATTGTTCTATTTTGTGCAATTAATGTTATTATTTAAACGAACTGTTGCATACTTTTATAAGAGCTTTGTATTTGCTTTACTATTATTAAATAATTTATAATATGTAATATTTTTGTTTTATTTAGTGGATTACAAGGCAAACAATTTAATTGTAGATAATTTATGGCTCTGACAAGGACAAGGGCACTGAATGTTATGTGATCATCTTATTATAAGTGTGACAGTTTTCTCTATACCTTATTCCTTCTAAAGGATCTTGATGGAGTTTAGGTACTCCATCCTACATTTTAATGCCCTGTATGTGTGACAATTCGTAATTGATTTTTGGGCTGTTTCGTCCAATTAATTGTTAGGAAGAGCTTGTAGGTCATTGAAACAAGTCGACTGGTACTGAAAGTACATTTCAACAAGCAACTTGAGTATATACGCAATTCAAACATGCAAAAAAGAAAAGTACAGTAGAATCTTGATCATCCGACACATATGGCACCACGCAACCGCCGGATTATCAAAGAATCCGGACTATCCAGAATAATAGGAAAAACACGTCAATTTTACTATGAATGTATGTACATCAAACGAAAATGCTTACAAATTGTACAAAGAAATACAAAATATACACAAATACGTAATTTTACACACTAGGAAAAATAATCATTAATTTTTTTGTTCTTTGCTATATGCATTTGATCAAAAATGACATCTTGTAGTCGTCCCAGAGACGCTGGACTAAGGAACGAGTGGATTATCAAGATTACACTGTATCTATAACTATATACCTAGATGCATGATGAAAATGGGGTTATAGGATAGCTTGTTGGCCGACTAATAAATGAACTTACACATACTACCCTGTGGTAACTGCTTGCATCACCATAAAGTGATGGGCGGTGGGGTCGTCACTTCCCTACGCCATTTATTATTATAGTATGGTTATTTAAAATACCTACGACATTGTGTGTACAAAGAACCAACAGATCCAAGTAGCGATTCATAATGGTTCTGCTCTGGAAAACTCGAGGGGCAAACAACTTCCAAAAAAGTGTACACCATATTTAAAATATTTGATATTTAACGGTATTTGTAAGTAATTAACGTGTATTTGTAGGACTTCACATATTTGAAAAGTAATCAAGCATTTAATAAGTAATCAGAACATTTTCAATACAATCAAAATATTTAATAAATAATCATAGATAATTAAAATACTCGAAAGTAGTAATTTAAGTAATTGAGATGTACTTGAATATATTTGAAGTAATTAAGAAGTATTTGGAAATACTCTATACCTATATTTGATAAATGTCACTTTTTGAATCATTCCTTTTCGCTATCCACTTCTCGTTTCACTGGAAAGGATGCCAACTTTCAATTCAAGTCGAGGACAATTATACCATATTGTACTATAATATGGTTAGGCATATCCATTGTGAACGAGTTCCAAGTATTACTTTGAACTGTCACACTCAGTGGGCCCTTTGGAAAATGCTAATAGCATTAGTATCTTCCTACTAAAAAAATCCTAAGTAGGTATAGTTTATCGAGTATTGTATGGTGGTTTCTACGCACCAAAATTAATATGAAAAAGTGTTTCCTGAGAAATTTTGATGCAGTCGATTTTTGGTAAAAAAGGAAGGTTATACACTGCCTTTTTTTGAGACTCGAAAAAAAAATTGTCTCAGATCGACCCGGAAAAAAATTTTCTTATAGAATGTGGCCTGTAGAATCCATAATTTCAAACAGTTCCAAGATTGGGCCTACTAGTTCAAAAGTTACAGCCCTTTGAATTTTTTTTCGAAATTGGTTTCTAGTCTATAACTTTTGATTGAGAAGTCTGATCGAAAAAGTACGAATTGTTTTGGATTCTGTTGGTGGAACCCCCAAAGCAGAATGAGAGGCAGAATGTTTTTAAGGTTTCAACAATAATGTCCTCAAACTTTCTCCAAGTAAGTACGCCAGAATGGTGCCTCGCAAAAATCAGTTCTGAGTTTTCTTGAAACAAAGTGAACAAACTACAGGCTCTTTGGATTTTGCCCAATTTGTTATTGTCAATGCAGAGAAAAAGCATTACGAACTACAGTCACTGATCGGCCGGGCGGGGATGTATTTTTTTAAACGGTAGACGCGTCCGCTTGCATGCGAAAATTGACCCTTCCCCACTTTTTTCAATTTTTTTGGAAAAGCAAAGTTGTACAAAAATACTGCGGATTTTTCCGAAGGGAAAACGCGTTTGCTATTTATGAATTTGGTTCTAATCGGTTCAGCCGTAAATGAGAGTACAAACGGACCGACACTCTTAAATACTGTATTGTAAACGACTAAGGAGTTCACAATAAGTAACTTAAAACAACTGCTAATAAGGGAGATATTTCCCTGCGAAACTGATCCGCGCGCGGTTTTTAAGCTTGTTCACTAAGTATTTCAGTACGCAAGCCAACATGACGGGTCCACAACTTGACCTTACCATTATCAAACATGTAATCAAAATACTCAACAAGTAATGAAAGTATTTGAAATTGTAATTGAAAGATTGAAAAAGGAATTAAAATATTGAAAAGATAATTAAAATATTCACAATGTAATCAAAGTACTGGAAATGTATTTGAAGGTAATGAAAACTACTATAAAGAGTCTAAAAAAATCTAGAAGCAGACCTCTTGGAGACTTTCAGAACATTCGAGATCCCTACATAACTTGTGAAACCTATTACTGGTGCAGTTTTTTAAGTACAATGGCACCTAAACACCAATAATAAAGGCTCTTGGAAACTATGGAGAGTTTAAGCGCTCTTAGAGACCAAGGATTTATAAAAACTGCATAAGAGCCTTAAAGGTGCAACTTTCAAACACTTTTCTCTCTCAGTGATTCAAAAAATAACTGTATGGCCTTAATTCCTAACGGTTTTTAAATGTTTTTGAAGGTACCGAATGGTATAATGAAAAATCTTAGACCTTTTATAGTTCTTGAAATCACCCAAAGATACTCTTTTAAAGAGAGTCAAGTAAGTTATTGACTCTTATAAGTTTCTGGAGGACTAGAGGAAACTCTTAACAACCAATAAAAATGTATACAGATGCATAAAGTTCTTAAAAGCGCTTCTCTGAAACTCTCTTCGTATTAAGGATTCTTAGATTTTCAAGAATTTTTAAAAGCTCATGACCAAAAGCCTGTTAAACACTTGATATCTTTTTAATTAATGAAATTATTAATTTTCTTTCTGAATTAGCCCTTTTGGGGGTACACAAAAAATTAACTACCTAGTCACCAATTATGACTTCTGAATTTCCACTTTCTGTCATTTTAATTGATATTCTAATTTACAACAAAAAAAACAATCAAGACAAGAGGTGGATATAGACCAGGAAGGAAAGCACCTGCTATACGGCGCTACTGAGAGCAAATTCTTAAAAAACGTCACCGCCTCAAGATAAGTGCGTTACCGCAGGTCGTTCAAGTGCGCCCTTTTTATTACGTTTTTCTTTTACATCTTCACCTCACAGGTGGGGTTCGAATCCCACAACTTGCCAACTTGTGGTCCAGAACATTTGTTCTGTTGTGGCTGACGCAGTGCGACAGTCGCATTCGGCGGCCGCATGGAAGGAACCATGCCTTTAGAATTCGCCCGCTAGCCGCTAGGATTTCAAAAGCGGGCCCTCGCGTAGAGGTACCCGCCCCTTTTTAAATATTTCCGCCTATTGAAAATCTGGTTTAGTTTCTCAGCCGTCACGTACGGTACTAAAAAAAAAACCGGGAAAAATCAATAAAATTTGTTAGGCAACACACTATACTACTATTCTCTATAGCGTTGCACATCTTTCTTCGAGTACTCCAACCTTTAGGGGCTCTAAAAGCTCCTTAAAGGCGCTGCTGCTGCGGGGAGCATGTAATCATCCTCCTCCATACAGTCTGATCTAGCGCCGGGCGACCACAGAAACGCATTGTTCGAGATAAATGCCGTAATATTGGTGGCAACTATGTGGAATAGTAGACAAAAGGCCCAATAAGAGAGTTCACATGGGTCGATTTTGCATTCACAACCACTTAACGTTACATCAAAGCATTAGAGAAAATTTGTCATTTCTAACACAGTTTATTTGTTGTGCTAAAAATTATCAAGGTAGAAAAATATTTTGAGAACGTAATTAGCACATCTTCTGTAATAACATACAATAAATCAAGATACATAGAGGTTTTAGACATGATGCTACTGCTATTGAAGAGAATCAAGGAGCAGTTCAGGATCACACTGCCGAATTAACAGCAATGATCAAAATACGAAAACGATTTCAAACACAAAAAAATTTAAAAAAAACTTTTAATTTTTCCACTTACTTCTGAATGTGATGAGTTTTCCGCAATGAGATAAAGTTCAATTGCAACCCAGATGAGCTAGAAATCATACTTTCTGCTGTGGAATCAGAGGAAAGATTGCCAAATTAATAGTGTCATTACTGTGGGTAACAGTTTTATTCATAAAGGAAGCATTAATTTGGTTCGAAGCTAATTGCAGCAAGTTCTTCTCGCAGGAATAAAGACAAAATTCGTACCTCCAATTGTGATGAAAACCTAAAGAAAGAAATCAAACATCATACACAAGTAAAATATAAAACAATGGGGGTTTAAACAGTCAAGAAAAACGGAACGTAGAGGTAAAAAAAAGGTTATGTTGACTACATTTATTAAGGTATAGTATTAACATCAATACATACATAATATACTACAATATGCTGCAAAATTAAAGCAACAAGAGAAACCATAAGTTACCCAATGCCACAAGCGGCATGATGCAATTAAAGTCTATACTGTGTAATAAATTAATTCACTATATTGACAAATTCAAATTTGGTCGTAACTTTCATATGTACAACTTGCAGCGATGATCCTCTCTACTGACCAACGAATTAAATTACACTAACAGTATTGTATGTTTAATTTAAAAAATAAAACTTACTATATTTGGAAAGAAATTCGTCTAGAGATTAAATTTAGTTCAGATGGAATCCTTTCTCCTTCGTCGCGGCCAGAAGTCGTTGTCTCAGCACTTCTTCCGTAGGATAATCGGGTAATTTTAAATAATGGACGCAGGTATTTACAGATGGAAAGGATCCCTCGCCCGCATCCACTTTTCTAACTACGGTCAAACGTGGATATAAGTTCGCCAATCCGCCCGGCGGTAAAGAGCTGCAGCCCGTCGTAAACTGGAGGAATGCCTTTCTTTCTTCAGGAGACATGTCCAGGAGAACGTTTACGAACCGCAAAAATCCGGGGCTACAAATGGATTTAATTAAAAATGTTAGGCACCAAGTAGGAACGGATGTCCTGTAATTGTGTCGATTGCTTGCAGTACTAACACAGTAGGTCAATTACAGGTTTCTGCAGTTTAAACAAAATGTGCTATTCAAATTCAAGAGTTTCAAATTCAAATCAATGTCTTTAACCTCAAAATTTACTAAATCTACTCTTTAATATAATATGGTTACCTACCTATCCTTTGTATATCCTAATTTGGGCTCAGTATAGTTCATCAGATCATCCCGAGTCCATTCGGGATTTTGATCACCACAAAGCATAACGCGCATTTCATCTGGACTGAAGGCGGATAGTTTCTCCATCGGAAATACCACTGAAAAGCCTCTATGGAAAGCGTCAAGTTGCCTAGCGATTCCTTTATCTAGTGCGAATCCTAGCGTTAAATCGGCGTACTCCTCTACGTTTTCTATATTAACTTCGATATCTGCGCCGTTTGAAACTAGTTCAATTGCGGAAATACCAAAAATGCTACTACTAGGTGCGTAAGTGAACGTTAACGCTAAATCCTCCAGTAAAACTGGACCGGACGCGTGATTGAGGCTCAAATTTTGAATTTGATGCGCTTTGCTTTCAGCAGATAAGCTTGTGTCTTGGATTATTTTCAGTTTGCGTTTTACTAACTCCTGGATTTGTTTAAGAAAAGTAGCTCTAATTGGATCAATATCAAACAAGTCGTCCGCACCTAGAATGCCGCAATACCATGGTCGTTTATCTTCGAGCGTCAGCTTAGGGGGATCCAATTCAAGCTCCTTTTCGCTCTCTTCAGATATTAAACTGGAGGTCATCATATCATCTTCGTTACGTTTCAAACCTGCAAAGCCTATACGCTCGTTGACAGTATTTTGAATTTCCCCATGACACATCAACTTAAGGAAACTTTTCGATAGTGGCAAATCTACCAGCCGATTATCTTGTAACACCTAACAACGTGAATTAAGGGATTGTTGGAGAATTAGGGCTACAAACCTTAGCTAAGAACACCCCAAGGAACCAGAAGTAACGTACAGCCTTATCACAGATGTCGGAATTTTGAGGCAATGGAGCCGGGAACAAACCGGAGGTCCGCCTAACGTAATACCCTGGTGGTTTGACCCCCTCGCCGAGATCTACAGCTTCTTGCATGTTGAGAGCTTCATCATCACAGATCCACATTGCCAAATCTCGCCGTTGTAGCTCCGCCGAGACAAGCGCGTAAAATTCTAAAGTGGGCCCGAGCCCCGTACCCTCCTCTCCGGCGAACTCTACCTCTAAAATTGATTTACGATCACAGTGTATTTTCATAACCTGCATGGCCCAGTCTAATAATGTCTCCCCTCTAGGAACTTTAACCCTTTCGTGTTTTAGCCGCCCCACACGGAACTCGTGCGGATCATCTCGCCTCGGCGACAAGCCAGGCGTTCGTTGTCGCTCGATGGTTACATCGCGCTGCGTCTGCAGCCACACGATGCTACGCGACGCTCCAAACGCAGTACAATTGAAATACAGCTGCCTTGTCTCAAACGGAAACAGGAACGGGCAGGAATGGTTGAGTTCCTCGCACCAAGCGGGCAGACTCGAACTCGACAGCACCAAAGGATCCTGTATTTGCTGCAGGAGTTTGTTGGTGATTTTTTTGCTTGTAAATTGCTCGGGCGAAAGATCAATGGATAAGTCGCGATAATCTTGTTCCTTCGATGTTGTAATTACAAACAGGTGGCGCAACAGTTGCAGTACATCCTCAACTGTGCAATTAGAAGCTGATGGTGTTCCGGGAATCGGAGTGCTCGGCGAAAGTGTTGTTCCTGCTACAGAACTACTGCCACTTCGTGAATACAGGGTGACCACAGGAGTACAACGGCCCTCCTCCAATTCGGATGCACTTTCATCCTTAATTTCCCGATAAACGATCCTATTGAAATACAGCTAGATTAACACTTTGGCGAAAATAGCTGGTGTTTAGTGTTCACCGTTAGTGCAAGTGTAAAAATAATCCGTAAAAATACTGTTGTTTTAATTTTAATGCTAACTTCAGTGTCTCTTACTTACATGTAAGTAGGTTCCCATATCCGTCGAAGTTTCTCCTGTCTTGTTCCTAAATCAGCCAACTGAATAAGTTCTTGTACAGCCCGAAAAACAGTCCAGGAGGGATCATTTAATTCAACTTCCACATCGGGTATACCAGGTAAATTGGGACCACGTAAAATTAACTGCAACTTCGGCTGTGGAAGCAACTCATGATCGGAATTAGATCCGCCTTCTTCTTGGCCAGGTGGAGGAACCTCCAAATCCGTAGTCTGATTGACGTTGGTCCGTCCCGGTCGTGGATCGAACGCCGGTATAAGCGCGGAAAATTGCCTTTTAAGAACGTATTCGTCGTCCCACGATCGCCTTTTTCCAGATCTACACTCATAACCCTCCTCCTCCATGAACGACAGCAGATTGCGCGACACCATCACGTCCTCGTAATCGGCGTCGTCCTCGTTTTCGTCTTCGTCGTTATCTTCCTCGTCGCCAATATCCTCGTCGTCGTCCAGTTCGGCCAGAAGGGTCGGCGCGCGACAGGATTCTAAAAAGTCCTCCAACGAAACCTGAAAGTGGTCGGTCTTTCAAGGATCCTAGATGCAAATGCGTCAAAATTGATGCGTGGGATGGGGCAAGGACATTTTGCCAAATAAACTTCACTGCTGTGACCTTCACACGGGAAGAGATTTAAATCTCTTATCCAAACCTACTCGTACGGAGAGATAGTCCACCCCCCCTCCCTAAATAACGCTACTCCCAACATCAAGATTCAAACTTGGTAATAATAGCATACACTTTTTACATGACATATCTCCGATTCAGTGCAGTTTAGCTACAAAAGAGTTCTACTCAATGTTGTAGAGAATTAAATTTCCTATAATTTACTTTTTTACCTTTTGTATCTAGGAGTAATAGTTACGAAGATACAATTGTTTATCATTTTTTAAAATGGACGACTGTATGAACTTTTAAAAAAATCGCATTTTCGGAAATTTGTCAAACTTCTAATTTTAGAACACTGTAATTCAGTTATGACCTATTCTTTCACTCTTATCGTGGTAAAATGCACCGAAACGAAGATATACGTAAAAAACTGTGCTGATTTCTTTCAGATTTTTCAATATGGCCGCGGTCGCGGATGTGGAGGAATTGTGCATTTTGCATTTATTAATCATCCTAGACAACATATCCAAAATTTAGAACTACCGGTGTAGACAGACACAAATGCGTAAATGATTAAAAGGAGGAAAATGCCAGCTGATGAATGAGAAATATGATTTCTATTACATGGAAATAATCCTCAAAAAAGTTCCCATAGTAGACAGTTAAAATGATCCATACTGTTGAGCTTACCTGCAATTTCCGTTACAATGTGGCCATAAAATCAACAACCTCGTAACACTGATCATATGGTGACATGTCATACAGCCGAAGAGAGGATCTTTGCCTTGTAATTTAATATTTGAAATTGTAGTTTGGCAAAATGTCCAGGTCGTACAGGACTATTAGGTTTTTTCATTTACAAGCGATTTAATCTTACCAAATTAGATTTGGTGTTATGTACAACTTATCTCAAAATAGCGCAAAGTGACAGTGAAGAGATGAGAACACACTTCCGATAAATTCTCTTAAAAACATTAGCGGCATTTCAACTTACGGTATGCCATCTCTTGTAGCGACAGGAATATCGTACAGGAAGAACAGGAGTCAAGGATGTAATAAAAAAATTCCAAATGTTTACCTGTTCGCTATCGCTACTAGTCGATGTTAAACTCATGGTTAACGCTTGACTAAGTCCTTGAGTGGCCGTCGTGGCGGGAATGCTATTAGAATTACTTGTGGGATTATTGGTCGACGATAAGCTCGGATAGCTTTGAGCCGTGTTTAATAAACCGCCCGGAAAGTTGCTAGACAAGGCCAGCTTTACTAGACTGGACATTGAATTTGGCGCTCGGGGAAATAACGTTCCGCCCGTATTTTGATGATTATTTTGTATGTTAGAGTTAATTATCGTTCCGGATGCGTTGTTGGAATTTGCGTTGGCGCTATTCGAACTCGTTACCGAGCCTAGCGTCCGCCGTCTAGCTAATGCCGCAAATGTTTCTAAGAGACCCACTGTTGATGACGGTTCAATGTGATTACTTGCCTCGGTCGAGGTGAGGTTAGGAACGCTTACGCTCATCGGATTCGTCACCGAACAATTGCTATTGTTTCTCGCGTTATTTGAGTTATTCACCGCCTCTTCTTTGCTGCAGTTATCTTTGATTTCGTGCTCGATGGATGGCTTCTTCGCTTTACTTGGCCTGTCGTCGTCCGAGACTGATATTCTAACACCCGTCGTCTGCTGGTTCTGCTGATTTTGGTGCATCATAATAGTCGATTGGAGCAGTTCTCCGGAGAGGATGGTGTTGGTATTGTTTATAAACAGATCTGTTCCTTCGCGGATTTTATCCAGCGCCTCTACGGCCTCGGCCAGACTTTGCGCTGCCGCATTGACGGCAGCTCGACTAGTATTGATCTTGCTGGATCGCCGTGACAAAACATCCTTGTTTAAATTCGAACCCGAATTACTAGTGGTGATATTACTTCGATGTGGCTCTGACGCGTCGCAACTTTGCTGACGTCTCAATTGAGAGTGAGAAATGACATTGCTAGGCTTGGTGTCTGTGAGTGCGAGACTTTCGACTATTGTGGCCAGATCACTCGATATCGAATTGTTTATTGCAGATAGGTCATGATGGGGATCTCGCAAGGGGTGTACAACCACCGATAAATCTGACTCGTTAATTGCAGCCTGAGATTCAGATGTGACAGCTACAATTGCTTCGGCGCGAGCGACCGATAACATGCTTTCAGCTATGGTCTCAGCAGCTTGCTTGGCAGCTAAGTTATCGGCTGAGGCAGCTTGTTCTGTAGATGCCACAGAAGTCTTGACGTCAGTCGCCTCTGGCAAGCTGGGCGTAGAGCTACTTTTACGACTAGTTAACACACTTTGTTTGTCTTTTGTTTCTTTAGCTTTCACTATAGCACTGTGCAACTTGGTTGTTGCCACCTCAATATCAAAACCTGGCGTCAATTTAAGATCATATTTGCCTTCTGCGCCCATTCTATATGAGTTGGAACCTCCATGATCCCAGGTTACATCGATCCAACCACTGTGTAATTCACCCGTAACCGTGCCTTCACCTGCTGGATTTCCATCTTGATCCCGCCACTTCCAATCAATACCGCGGACAACTCTGGCCCCCACAGAAACGTGCTTAAGCATTTGAGCACGTAACAGACGCCTTTGTTTCTTTAAGTAAGCCTCAGCTTCTTTGGCCGCCTTCCCAAGATCCTCGCATACTGTTGTAACTTGCCCGTATAATTCGAAACCAGACAGACTTAAGTAGTGCGTTTGTCCCGATGCATTTTTACCAGCTTGCTGAATGCGGACATGGCGCCAACCTTGATACTCTTCTGGCGGAACTTCAACATACCACGAGCCCGTCGACCCCGGATCGTTTAATGATGTATCATCTGTGTGGGTTAGTAGTGTTATCCACGTTACGCCATCTCGGGACATTTGGAATAACCAATTTCTTAACGCAGATCGACCATAACCACGAGCGTGCCGCAATGTGTAACAGGTGGGTATTATGTACAAGCCCAAATCGATACTAAACCAAGCGCGTTTATCATCATTAGTGTGACAATTTAAAGCCGAAGAGTCGCGTGATAAGATATCTTCCACCCTCCCATAAGGCAGATTGCGACCATCTGAACTGGTGATGGAAACCAGACCATACTGTGCGGGATTCACCCATTCTGCACTTGTTTTCCCGTTTGTCCCTATGAAATAGATCACGCCACCCTCGTCAAAATCTTGCGTGTATTTAAACGTCCTGTACTTCACTTCCCGCAACTTCTTAATAAATTGAAATGTATTCCTATCATAGTCGTACCACTGCTTGGCGACCATCTTCAATAGGTACCTTTCCAACTGTCTGACAGTACTCAACGGTTCCATCTTCAATCCCCTCCCAGTTCGATCAATCAAGGTACTCTCACCGGAAGCCTTTTCCAATCTAAACCTTAATCTCCTCGTCAAAATTTGTAAACCGTAACCTGATCCGGGCGAATCATACAAATAGACGGGTAATTTTTCTATACTTTCTAACACTGCAATTAATTTATGAACTAAAATCGCTAAGGAATTCTGTTCTTCATTGGATTTCTCTTTAAAGCACTGTTTAAATAACTGCACTCGTTGCTTTTGAAATTTGCTCATTTTGTTTGATTTTAGCCCTTGGTCCCAATAACTCGTCGCGAGCAACGATAACAAAGCTTGCACTAACCCCGAACTATGCAATTCATAAGCACTAACGACTCCGTCCTCTTGCAAAATTTGCGTTAATTCGTCTAAAGCGTTACATAAAATATCTTTCCACGTGTGACCGCCGTCGCGATTATTCGAGTACGAGCATTGTTTCTGACACGCCCGCTCCAAATGCGCCACTATATTACCTAACTTCGCGACGACGCCGCGCGGCTGCGCCTGGGCAGCCTTAAAATATTGTTCGTGTACAGTATTCGCTAAATTTTTCACTTTTTGTTTCGTAGCTTCAGTTTTGGAACGTAAACGTTTCCCTTTCTTATTCGACCATCCTGCTGAAAATTCAGGACCTGAGCATTAAAAAAACCAATCTGATATTAACAAACAATATCACAAAACGCACTAAAAATAAGAAAAAAGTAAATAACAAAAATCCATCAGAAGACGCTAAGTTTACATATTGACATGGAGACGGAAATTTCTTATTTAATTTTGTCTTGAGAACAACACAATTGATCTTCAGCAGAGAACGAGCTGTTATCGCTACAGAGGCAACACATCATGTTTACAATAAAACAGCAGTAACTATCACAAAACAGAGTATGAAAGCACCTGACAAAGCAGTTTCTCTTTTATATACCTGACAGCTGAAGTGAAATATTCAAAATCGCAGTATAGTAATCCCATGGAAGTTACAATCTCATTTGTAAAATTTTTTAGCAGAGTACAGTTTATGTTTTTAGGTAAAAAATATCGATAAGAAATACCCTGTATATAACCATCATTACACGCTGTATATTTAAACTGATACAACCAATCACGTTACGCCGGTACGTTCAGCCGACGCAGCTGTTAACCGTTGAGTACAGCCGTTAATCCAAAAATTCAAACTTACTGTCACAAAATTGCGCAGCCAATCACAAAACAGCACTGTGACGTGAAAAAAAAAGGGGGAGGTGATAACGGGCTTTAACTACTTAAAGTAAATAAATTAAATTAATATTTAATTTAATTATTGACTCTACCCACTTAGCGATATATTGCCTACCACCTATGAATACTGATGTGTTGCAGCTACATCTGTAGTATGCCAAAGATCGCCACAATTTAGATCATTCAACTTACCTAAGCTCGTCTCAGCTGTAAATGAATGCTTGGTACCGCGATTTGACTCAAAAATAAACCCAGCAAGCTCTTCACGCAATATCGTCGCCTGCTGCTGACCATCTGAATTGTGAATATGAAGCTCGGCATCTTTGCGCGACGTCAACGACCAATTTCCCACAACAAGTCGCGTCGGTCCAGGTTTGGACAGGATGGGTTGGGACGTTGTGGTATTTTTAACAACCGCGCGGGCACGTTGTAACTTTTCCAAAAATTCTCCTCTGTTTTCTAGACATTGGTAACGTTTAATGTACAGTAATTCAATTACGCAGCTACAAACTAAGGTACTAAAATGCAAATTAATCAATTCTTACCTTCCGTAGTTAAGGAATCAGAAGCCCGGCTTTTGCCTATCGACACAAAAGATAATGACTTTAGCGTCATAGAAAATAGAAAGAGTTCCGTTGTACTCAAATAGTCGATTGCATAATCACAGAGATCGTGACAACGCAGTCGATTCATGGTATCTCAAAAGGGAATCTGCATGCATGAGTAGACAACATTGAAGGGAAGAGGTTAGGGAGAACTCACCACAGAATTTGTGGAGTCTGGGGTCTTTAACAGATGAGCACACAAAAACTACTACAAATTGGCAAGGCATGCAATAATTAAAGTAATTAACACATACCTGAAGTATCAGCGCCACCTTCTGGTGAACCACTTGAATACATAGTAGCCAATTTCCCATCCAGTATAAAGCGAAACCAACCGTTTGATCCGTTTGACAACTCTAAGGCTGCCGCATCCGACCATATATACAAACAGTCCCTGCCACGACACAAACACCAATCCCTCCAGTGATACGCTTTGCCGGGTAAAATTTCTTTTGCGTCTTCGATCACGTCGGTCACCTCAGCTACAAGAAATTACGGTAAAATTGTAGTTGGTATTTCGAAAGTTACCTTGTTCTGTGATATTTTGATCGTTTTCTTCTGGTTCCACAATGACATCTGGTGGTCCTGCTAAGGCTTGCACCTTTGAAAAAACTCCCAATCTGGCGAAGTGGTCCAAAAATATATCTTGCGCTTTTATCATCAGATCTTGTATGATAGATAACACGATTAGGTGGCCATCCTCATCCTCCTATTAATCAAAGGCAAGTTAATGACTTGATTTGGTAGATGTATACACCAACACACTTGTTAATGGATTAGTTAGGTAGAGATGATCCGTTAGAAAAAACTACTAAGAAAACTAAAAAAGCAATTGCAAGCAGGCACATAAGTTACAAAATTTCAACTAAACTAAGCAAATTAGCAACAACACACGAGGTAAGTATTAAAACCAATAGGGGACCAAAACAAACTAACCATAGGTGGAGGACATTGAATTATGTGCCTGCCATGCAAAGTATTGCGCAAGAGTACAGCGAGCGGGGTCACTATGGTGTAGCTGCGTGTACTTGGCCAGCAGTAACCGATCTGCAAAATTGTAGTATCGGATAAAAGCCACACATATCTGATCAACATAACTGTGAATATAACATTTTTAATTATGACAACAAACAATTGATACTATATATTTGGAAAAAGATGAATACAAACCTCATTGTCTAAAACGGTTGCAATCACTTCCACTAATTGTGTACCAAAGTTATTGGACACCTCGGATGTGCACAATTCCTCCAGCAGACTAGGTTGAATGTAATGCACCATCTTCTTTATTAACCCTAAACTCGCTTTCCTTACAGATGCGAGCATAGTCGATTGAAAAGTAGCACAAAACACAGGCAGTAGCTGACGAAGATAAAGTGGAGCCATTTCAGGATCACCACGCGGCTCGACTTGTTCTTCACTGTCAGATTCCGATTTTCTTTGCCTTTCCTTATCCAAAGGTATCATCCATTCGCCCGGCGACTGAAGGATTGCAGCTACCTCACGATGGCCTGAGCAAGTACATGTCAAACGACGCGCAATTAAAAAACAAACATCATTACCTTCGTCAATGCGCTCTCTAGCCTTATCCAAAGGGGTTTTGCCGTCTTCGTCTCTGAGATCGGGGTTGGCGCCGTGACGTAGAAGTACTTTCGCGATAGCCGGCCGTCCGAAACAGGCGGCGTAGTGTAGGGACGAACTTCGTTGGCCTTTATTAACGTCGGCGCCCTTTTCACAAAGATACTCGACCATCTCTTGCGTCCCAAACGCAGAGGCCCAGTTCAGTAAGGTTTGTCCGACATCGTCCATGAAATTTACCTATAAAAAATGTTAAAGTAAATGACCGAGGTTCAAATATTTCAACCTCATCATCATATAACCAAACAATCAATTTCCATCTCTGAACACAAAAAAACCAGGTGTCAAATTCTTGACAGAATAGCTTCCTAGCTGAAACCAAAAATTGCCAACATATGTACGCACTTACAGACGGGAAAAATTTTTTTTTCAAAAATCCAGCCCGTTATTTTTCTGTTCGGTATGCCTAATATACATATCCGAAATTTGAACAAAATCCGTCGAGCCGTTTTCTCAGAAAATTGCCAACAAACGTACGTACGTACATACAGACGGAAAAAATAAGAAAGGTGCATTTTTTACGCATGCATTTTGTTTGCTTTTATTAGAGGGACCTACCATCCAAATTTCGTTAAAATTGCTCCATAAATAAGAAAGTTGGATGTTGCACATGCGCAACACTATTTTTTGCGCATGCATTTTGTTAGCTTTTATTAAAAGGACCTACCATCTAAATTTCGTTAAAATTGTTCCATAAATAAGAAAGTTGCATTTCTGCGCATGCGCAACACGATTTTTGCGCATGCATTTTGTTTGCTTTTATTAGAGGGACCTACCATCCAATTTTCGTTAAAATTGCTCCATAAATAAGAAAGTTGGATGTTGCACATGCGCAACTCGATTTTTTGCGCATGCATTTTGTTTTCTTTTATTAGGAGGACCTACCATCCAAATTTCGTTTTAATTGTTCCATAAATAAGAAAATTGCATTTCTGCGCATGCGCAACACGATTTTTGCGCATGAATTTTGTTTGCTTTTATTAAAGGGACTTACCATAGAAATTTCGTTTAAATTGCTTCAGAAACAAGATCGTTGCGTTTTGCACATATGCAACACAATTTTTTGACTTTGACAATTTTTTTCTCCGTTTTTTGATAATATAACCCGGCCCAATTTTTTGTAGGTTGTACACAGGAAAATAAGGTCTTCCAAATAATAGAATAAAAATTTTAGGTTGCTATTTGAAAAAAAAAGTTCGATGCCGTTACGGCGCTCCAAAATTTTTTTTCAAAAATCCGGCCCGTTATTTTTCTGTTCGGTATGCCTAAAACATATATACAAAATTTCAACAAAATCCGTCGAGCCGTTTTCTCAGAAAATTGCCAACAAACGTACGTACGTACGTATACAGACGGAAAAAAATTTTATTCTTTAAAAGTTGCTTAAAATGGTCTAAAACGTCGACATTTGATGAAATTTTGAAATGTTCAAAAAACGGCTATCGCAATAGCTACCTAGCACATGCTAGGAAGCTAAAAATTATTGTTTAATAATTTGTATGTGTGTGTACAAATGATAATCCAACTTTTTTTAATTTGCAGCAACAATACTCACAAATAGTAGATGAAAATATGTGAAAACGAAGGACATTGCTCTAGTGCCCCCCCCCCCCCTCCACAGAGATTCGTTCCATATTCGTGTTTTTCAACATAGAGACATAGCTGAAGGAGAAACGGGAAGACTTACGATGATGGCACAGTGGCTGAGGAGGGTAATCAATAACATGTGCAAAAAAAACAATAGAAGAGGAGTTTTTATTACCTTTTTAGCATGCTGCCATAAGGAATGTAAAAAAACGTATTTGTAGACATGGAGGAAGATATTCAACAAGTGGGCCAGGCACTGTGGGTGTCCATAGCCGTAAGGGTACGAACTGTTCAAATTTTTTTTAGTCCAGTGAAATCGCCTCGGAAAGCAAGGGCAGGGTGTGCATGGAAATCTTTTTTGAATGAAGTGGGAAGTTTAAAAATTCGTAGCAATCGACCAGGGATGACACAAAAAAAACTTAACATTGCTCGAGATTAGTTCCATAGTTAAACGAATTTTATGTAGGGAAAAATAGAAATTGGCGATTCTGGACGGCGACAACGGCAAGATGCTTTGAATGCGCTGTGTGACGGGAGCGCACCCCCCCCCCCCCGACGTTGCCTCCGCGTGGTGGTCAAGCTTGAACGCTGTAACTGAAGAATGGCGAGAGGGAATTGCATTTTGTCGTTACCTTTGCCGTTCACGTTGCCTCCAAAGCTGGGGGTCGAAGTTTGCTCGAGGGATAATGGGAATAGGCGTGATTTTTTATGACACACTCACGATTTGCAAGCGTAATTAAAAACTTGCATCTACAGAAGTTGATTACAGCTGTAGCAGACAAAGCTTTTCAAAACTGTTACGACAGATGGTTAAAAAGAACAATTACAGTTAATAAAAAATGGCCACATACCTATCCAGAGACCTACAGCACGTGCCTAAGGTGAAACAAAAAACTCAAAATTTTTTGGAATAGTATGGATGGAAGTTTTTGTTTTGTTTTGCGTCTGTACAATTTGTTAGTCAATAATTTTAGATGTAAAAAATGCATTAATTTTCCCACCCACATCTCAAGTAAGGTACGTATGCCTCTTTTAGACATACAAGAGTAGGAAGCACCTCACCCACTCCTAAGTCAATAAACGATCAGTAAAAATAAAATGCAAGCGAATACTACCATTTTTGTCACAATTATTTTTAATTACCTCAACGCCACCGGTCTCAATTGCTTCGATCAACGCGTCCGTATCTTTCGACCGTATACAATCAATCAACTGCCTGTGAGACTTTTCCGCGGCGGAATCCATCCTTCGAATTCGAGGCACGAATGTTCCCGAAGAGCCGGCACCTCCGGTTTTACCCAGAGCTCTCCGACCCTCGAACAATAACACTAGAAGCAAGTCGACTAAACGCATGGAATCGAGAATGCACCTTTCATCCCCCTTCAACGCCTTTTCTATTGCCTCGGGAAGATCTGATCTAAGTAGGTCCTAGAAACAAAGACACATTCAGTTGTTCTAAACAAAAAGGATGCATCTAATTTTTTTTAGTCTTTGAGGATATTAATTTTCAAAAACTTGAAAAAAATTAGATGTCATCGAGGACAGTAAATTACGTGTGTTATCGACGGTGAGCCACGACAAAGTGTTGACAGTAAGCTTATGATTGTTGACACCGAGGCAGCGGTCGCTTTCGGGTCAGGTTGATTTGTTGAGGTGTTGGTGGTAGAGGTTGCTTTCCCTGGCGTACTTTGAGTACCACTAGCAAGAGCTGGACCGGCCGCGTTGGACAGGCGGGTTAAAAGCTCTGAGACTAGCCCTACACACACAAATTTAATAAAAATGTCTCGGGAGAAGGGGTTTAACTGTACCGTGTTGGGCTAATGGAGCGGGGTCGACACCTCGCCTTGTGAATCGATCTGCAATTGACGCAAAACAGCGCAACGCGCCGTCGGCTACGTGTTGGTCTTCGTGGCGTAAAAGAGTGCTAAGTGCTTGCACGCAGGTTGGTAGTTGAGTATCGGCCGGTTCCATTTTTGTGCACAAACGAGACACAACGGCCATCGCCGAGTGCAGCGTATCCTTGTGTACACGATTTCCATTGTCTCTAATAAATGGTAATATGCAGCTGAGACCGCCCGAATCGAAAACGGCCCCCGCTTCGCGCGTGCAGATGAGCTCGAGCACCTTTACACATTGTTCGGCTAAATCTTTACTGGTCCGTGATGAGAGTTCAGCAACTACTAATCTATTACAAATCGCCCTAATCGCACCATCCATCGCCATGATGCGTCGCGTACACTCCGCCGACACATCTAAATAATAGGTAATTGCACGCGCCGTAACTTCTAGAACGTTTTCAGGCGCATGCTCGTCGAGGAATATCCGACATAACGCAGGAAGAAAGGTTCTCGGAGGGCAGCTGCAGTAAAAAATGAAGAGCAGTTCAAAATGAAATTAATACAAACCTTTCAAAGCATCGGTCTACATTGTCAGACATCAGTAGAAGCATGCAGAGTTGTTCCAGAGCGATAAGCTGCATGTCCCTCTCATCGCCTAGGCCACTACTCAGCCACTCCAATAAAGTTTCAGGATCGGGATCCGCCATCTACATAGAACACAAAACGATTATTGTTATTTGCAATTTTCTAATTATATTGCATAGGTATCCATTATTTTTTAGCGTAAATGCTGTACTGATTACAACTGACTAAATTTGAACGCAATATGAGTTCTGTATCTCTAATAGTTCGAAGGGGGCGGCACTACCTAAGGCCCTACGTAACTATTTATGATTCTTGTATCATATTAAATCTGCAAAATTCCCTTGAAGTCTGCGTAAAATACTGAAAGTCACACAAATATGTTGTAGATTCCAAAAATCGAATAAAGTAGGATATTCCAAGTAAAATAAATAAATTAGGTAGCCCCACTTGGCGATGACCAATTTAATTAAAAAACTTTTCATCATAAAATATACAGGGTGTAGAAACAGTTTACGCACCATAGGGATTTCAATGCTAATTTCGAAATATTTTGTCCCTAATTAATTAAGAGTAAAATTGTAAATAAGAGCTTGAAAACTTCTACGTCTGCTCATGTCCTCATTTATTATTTTTCAATTCGGAAAACCGGAAAAAAATGAAATTATTGAAACAAAAATTTGATTTATTATTATACTTCTAATTTATAATTTCCTTAATTTCTCCAATTTCCCACAACAAAAATTACAAATGACATGAATAGACGCAGAATTTTACAATCTACAAATAATGTATTTACAACTTTGCTGTAAAATAATTAGGGCAGAAAATATTTCAATATAACGAAATTACCATTGAAATCCCTATCGGTATCTAGACCCTGTGTGGCCCTAGATTACATTTACAACAAAGTTTTAAGAATTTTAAAATCTGCATTCGTTTCTGAGATGTCGCGCTGTCGCATTCCTTGCTGAACACCCTGTATAAGAGTAGGTATAAGTGAACATACAGGGTGGAAATTGTCTGATACACTGAAATACATATATTTTTATGGTATCCAAAATTATAAAAATTTTCAAACAATCTACGTACTTTAAAATTGTGGTCAGTGGCGTACTTCTGCACAGTCAAGGGAGACAACCACTATTTATTCTTAAAGTGCACTCACTTATGCTGCTATATCCAAAAAAAAGTGTACTCTATAATAATATGTAATGAAAACTAGTAGGTAGTGCATTAAAAAATTCTTCCCCCTTGACCATGGGGAAGTATGCAGCACTGATCACAAATTTAAAGTATGTAGATCGTAAGCAAACAAAAGCATCTTTTAAAAAATATTGTTGAAGGTATATCCAGTGTTCCAGACAACATTTTCACCCTATACACGGCAATCAAATTTCTACTGTTCCATTAACAAAGAAAAGACCAAGGTTATTTCATTCACGAATAGAACAGAGAAAGAGGAAGCCAACAGTGTCAGTGAACTATTTGACCTGAAGGGGGCACATTGCGCAAATAGCATGTACATGGTGCTTGACCCCTAGACTAGTATATTGGCTTGCCACTGCAGTGGTCAGTGCAATAATATTGTACAGTACACTTGTATGGTGGCCTGCCATGCGAAGGGCAACCTACAGGAAGCAGCTAAGTAAGTTACAGACTCGCCTGTCTGGAGGAGCCATGAAAATCATGCCAACTTTGGTCGTGGAAGTACCTCTGCGAATACAGCTTTTACACTTACCAGTCGAGGCGGAGGCTTGAAAAACACATGGAGCAGTGGCTGAATTCAGACCGCCTGTTCCTCAACCTAAAGGGCCTAAGAGGAGGGGGAACAGATATACTACGCGTCTAAGATAAAAATGAACAGCACGAGGATTTTGGATACCGTAAAAGTTGGGAATATGTATTGGAATACACTCTATACTGCTACTCACTACTTCTCCCAATGTACTGACGTTCCCTACAGTGTGAGGTACCAAACAAACTATCAGTGTATGACACCATATGCCAGGAGCAAAAGGTTAATTCTATAACTTCATGGTCTTCATCACCATACTTCACCCCTTGGCCTGATAATTTGTACTTACACTGTACTGCAAAAAACTGCTGAGTAACAACTACTTACTGAGTAACAAGTAAGTTACTTTAGGTATTTAAATTGCTGATTACTTACCAATTATGTACAACTCGTAACTAATATTTATCCCATAGGAACCTTAAATTGCCAATGTTCAGACAGCAGTATCTCAACTATTAAAAGGTACAGAGCTTGATCTGCATTCAAAGTTTTGGAAATTTAAAAGTCAAATCAAAAAGTGGGAAAATATTGTGGGTTATCGGCTACTGTGCAGCTAGTATTCGTACATTTGGTCCTAACAATGTAAGGTCAAGTATGTATGGCTCCGACTGGGTAGCAGGGTAGCTGACCTTTTGAAAAGTTTGTGAACAGTACTTCGGAGAGGGCAGTTACAATGGAGTTCAAATGAAAAGGACATATACTAAAATAGAAAAGGGAAACAAAGGAACCACTTGCAAAACATTGGCATTTATTTTTAGAAGTTTCAAACAATAGCCATAAATAATCAGCTGATTGGATACCTTTGGCAACACTGCTCGCAATAACATGGCAAATATTTACAAATTTTTAATCTAATCTTCGGTTTCCTTTTTGAAAGTGAATAAATTACGTGCGCAAACCTTTAATAATGAGCCAGTGAAAACGACTGAAAAAAGTACAAATAGTGAAAGCGTTTGTCTAATAAAATTTACTTTGTAATTGCGAAACACATGGCAGTTTTTTTTTGCACTAAAAGTGCACAAATATTATGAGGTCAAGTTTGTAACGCTACTTCTTTGAGGTCATTAGTCTCGAGCAAAACAAATTAAGGCAGGAGTGATAGGAAATCATTTCTGTTTGCCTATATAAAAGTTGCTAATTGCACTATTGTCTATTTTTATGACAATTCTCAAATGTCAGTCAGTGTATAATAAATAACGGTACGCAATCATCAAGGCAATTACACAAACGAGTTCGCGTTTAATTGCCTAAAACTACTTTTTTTTTTTATTTTAGAAAGGTACTACCGTAAATTGTAAAAAAAATCATTTCCTTACCTTAAGGATGACCTTTTTGTTGTTGACGACAAATGCGCGGGGCTCGAGCTCGTTGATTTCCTGCAATTGCGATTTTTTTTGTATTCAAATATAGTTCTCAACATCGGCCACACGTAGGTACTTGCAAAGATCAATATAGATATTAAATTACTTGAACATGATACACGCGCGATTTCGTTTTAAACAAACCAAATTGTTATAAAAGCCAACAAAAGAAATTAGATAAATACCTTCACTTTTTGATGTATCAATCACAATGACCATTACAATGCACGAGTACGTAAAAATAATGGAAATCGGATTCGTGTTTTTGTTAATAATTGCACTCACCTTTATCGATTAATTACATGTTTGTACGAAGTCATACACAACTGAAAATCTAATATTCACAATTTGGAGAAAAGAAAACGGGGAGAAACTCGAAAAATATTTCACAACATCGAATTACGTTGCAATACGACTTCGCTGTCTTTTGTACTGATTTTGGACGCAAGCGCCATCTTGAAATTTACACATCACTTTGCGACAGTAGCGCCATTTTTAAATTGCGGTATTGTAATTTTTAGCTTTTTATCGAAAATCGATATTTTTATTATTATACGGAGATTGTTTCTTTAAATAGATCGTCAATGGCATTTCCCACCTTTAGTTTATTAGAAGTCAGCTCGTTAATAACACATTGGTACTATCACAAATCAGTAGCGTAGAGGAAGTGGTCCGCATATGGGCAACCCTTTTGTTTATTGCTCATGACACTCTTAAAAATTATATTTAAAGCAAGATAATAATGGTAATAAAGTGTAATTAAGTACTTATCACAAATTCTGTTGTGCCAAATTTAAAAATGAAGCACTTTTGCCTGGATATGGCCTCTAACAACGCGGCTACTAATACCCCCCGCGTAACCATCCTTCTGGTAGCTAATCCCGCGTTGTGTTATATTCTTTAAAATTAAATTAATGTTAGTCGTTGCGAAGAGATCTGACATCTGAGGGCACAGTTTTCTAACGGGGAGGGTGGATGAGTGAGGGACCATCCCTGTCTTCGTGCTGCCGAAGAAGTGGAGTGACGCTTGAAACATTGATGTCTGCTTTCTTTAGAAGCTCCTTTACCCACCTACTCAGAGTTTGTTTGCTCGCTAATTTATGTGGGGCTTTGGTTTTTATACAGAGAAAATCCTGGTCGACTTTCCTTATGTTGCTAGTATAATAACTTGGATGTATAGCACACATAATGATGGCTTTTCGTTGATTAATTAGTCTTAAAATGCGGTCCCAGATACAAATTTGGATTTTTTGTGAGCTTTCACCGATCAAAGTCTTATTACAAAGATATGGTTTGTAAACGTCCAGCAGTTGTTAGAGCCAAAAGAGTCACTAGCTATTGAAACAAACTTCTTAGACCCAGAGGTTCGGCCTTTGGCCATGTTACTTATGTAAACTAAAAGTGGATGAGGGTTCCAATTATTTATGGTCGTTAAATATGTTCTGGGCTCTCTACGTTAAATGTACCATTGATTGTTGATTGTTGTGTGTAATCAATGAATGTATGTACCTATCTGAAAACTGATTTCCAAGGAAGCAAAAAAAGCACCCTGTATACAGCAGACAAGCCCCTTTTAAACAACATTTGGCCTGTGTAAATCAAGTTTAAGACGGCGTTTACAGCACAAAAAGTCACTCAATTTTCGCGGTTAAATATTAAATACGCCATTTTATTTCTACCTGTCAACTCACTTGTAAAAATTCTCTAAATTACAAGTTGTATTTACAATTAATTAAAGTAGTTAAATTATTAAATAGTTTATAGTTGTGCTACTCAAAATGTCAGAAGAAAATAATACCACCCTCAATGAAACTGTGGAAGATCCTGAGCAGAGTATAGTTACCCTTGGTGAAGTTTTACAGAGTGAACAAGAAATGATTGATGATGTCAATGCTGTTCTAGGAGCAATTGATGATAAAAAGTGCACTTATTCTGAGGTAATTACTTAGGTATCTTACGATAACACTATACCTACACTTTGCATTTAGGGTTACATGAAAAGACAAGCCTTGTACTCCTGCTTGACCTGCATTCCTGAAGCCAAATCTGATATCACGAAGGCAGCCGGTGTTTGCCTTGGTTGCTGCTTTCATTGTCACGAGGGCCACGAGCTCGTCGAGTTGTACACCAAGCGAAACTTTCGCTGCGACTGCGGTAATACCAAATTTGCCAATAAATCCTGTAAATTAGAAACGACCAAAACTGATGCCAACGAATTTAACGAGTACAACCAGAATTTCTGCGGCACGTACTGTAGCTGTAATCGACCGTATCCTGATCCCGAGGATTCTGTAGAAGACGAGATGATCCAGTGCATCCTGTGCGAAGATTGGTATCATACGCGTCATTTGGGTGTCGAATTTCCTCGCAATGTTTCTTATGCGGAAATGTGCTGTGAGTCTTGCATTAAACAGCATCCGTTTTTGTTGTACTACGGTGCACTGTGTGTGAAAGCAGCGGATCCAAATGCAGAAGCAGAGAGTAAAGAGGATGAAAAAGATGATAATGAAGTGGATGTCGCCCAAACTGATGAGAAAACTGATAAAGAGACTTGTACCAAACCTAAAGATAAGTCTGGGTTGGTAACCACCAAGTTTTGGACCGACATAGAATGGCGCAAGCAGCTCTGCACCTGTCCCGAATGTATCCAAATATACGAGGAGGAGAAGGTAATGTTCCTATTAGATCCACAAGACACAGTTCACGTGTACGAAGAGAAAGGTAAAGCCAAAGCTCGCGAGTTTGAGGAAAAACAACAGGAAAACGGCATGAAATTTTTGAACTCGCTAAGCAGAGTACCATTAATGGAAGCACTTGCTGGATACAACGATATGAAGCAACACCTGATTGAGTATTTGAAGAAATTTGCCGAAAATAAAAAGGTGGTACGTGAAGAAGATATACACGAGTTTTTCTCAAATTATGATGCGAAAAAGAAACAGAAGAGTGAAGTTCCCCATTTCTGTGGTTAGCTTTTACTACAATTATTAACTTATGAACCAGGATGTATTTTAATGTTTTTCAGTTTTAGTTTTCATTTTTTATAAAATACATAAGTTAATAATAGAGAATTTTAAATTAATTTTTAATTATGTAAAAGTCTTCTTCAAACTATCTACCATCTATTAAATTTGAGTTATAAAAACTATTGTATTTATAATCATTTCTGAGAGTTTTCAACATTTTCTCGTTTAGTAAGTGAAGTAAGACATCTGGTTTTCGTCTATTACATAGCTGTACAACTGCCCTTTTGCACGTTACAGACGACCGATTAAAAGCTTGTGACAATAAACAACACACCATCTTGACCTAGAGTTTAGCGAAGCTTTTGATACCGTTCATCACAAATAACTATTGGCTATTTTGAAATCGGGTGGAGTAGGTATCTTATTCGGCCTGTAGAATGATTTAAAACCATTTGTCTAATATGCATCAAAAAGTAAGTCTTAAGAACTATCTTATCGCATTCTCGAGTAGTCATTAGAGCTAGTGTACCACAAGGATCAGTTCTCTGCCCATTGCTCTTGTGTCTTTACACTAGTAATATTCCCAAATGTCTAAGTTCCAGTAAAATACATATGTATGCCGTATAATTATGTACATTTTGGTTATTGCACCATATTTTATAGTTACACAGTTTTCTATATATCTTTTGGAATTTGGGAGGCAGTAATTTCCTGATAGTTTTGAAGGAGAATCTTTAAATTAAACACATTTATTAATATACGGTCACAATTGCAATTTTTTTTTGACATGACAAGGTATTTTGATCCTACAATGAAATACTCCATTTTTTTTCCTCCAAATGTGGACTTTAATATTGAAATTGCTGAGCTGATTATTTACTGGAGTACAAAAAACAGCGTATATGCCACAGGACTAGAAAGTGCGTCCTAAACCTAATCCCTGCACCTGCACCCTCGTGATTAAAACACACTTTAGCCCCTTGGTTATTTCCACATTGTTTGTACATAAACGTAACAGACGGCCGTAGTCTCCGCCGAACTGAACTTCGCCTTGTAGTGTGTTATTTTATTTCTGTACTTTTGTGTTTGGGATAATTAATGGCAATGTTATTATTATTATTCTAAGGAATGCTTTGCCCCTTTGTATGGAGCTTGGTTAACTGTAGATATGGTACAGAGGATTCAAAGATTGCAAAACGCATGCTTGATATTCGCAGAAGAGACCAAAGTAATAAGGCTAAAGATACCACAGTAAAATATTACCGAAAAAGGTCTGTATCTATTGATCACCTCCTCCGCAAATTAGGTTTTTTTATTTCTGCAGTTTATATCCAAATTTACTTTAACGCCCCAGAAGGCCAGTATAAGGTAGGATCTTCTATGATGACTAAAGATTTTAGTCTTGCTTAATAGTTTCTCAAAGGCTTAAGGGAAGGGTCAACTTTATCTAAACATTAGTAGAAGAAGGTTAAATTTGATCGAGGATGAGGTTGTCTTATGCGAGTGTATCTTATAATTTAGGCTACTGAGATGGTACAGATTAATTTAAAGTAATAGTGGTAATAGTCAGAGATGTCTAAACAATGTAATAATAATAACGAACGCAGTAAAAATTACACGGGATTTAACATAAATGGCAAGTCTAAACTCCTTTTACCATCTCCAAAATACACGCTTCCGTAGTTAGGAGTGCGAACAGTGTGGTAGAATACCATTCCCGGCCAGTATAGCGAATTTATAATAACTACGGCGCCGGCAGCACAAACGTGAAGAATCCAACAACCTTCAGGTATATCAACATCTATAGTATCCAAAAAATCTAGGGCGTAATTATAATCGATTCTGGCCAACAAATTTGTGTTCCATTTTCTTTGAGGCGAACGGTAATGTAAATAACACGCCAACTCCTGAGAGTCTAATTGAGACAGCCCCTCAAAATTTTGATTTTCCACAACGACAGCATCTGGTCGCTTAAATAGGGCGCCACGTGGCACAATCATTGCCTCATTAGTGATGGCGTGGACCGTGGCCGATAGACGATCTTCCTCTTTAAGCTTACGCACTGTAGGTTTATTGGATTTCGTACTCAATACATCATCGTCCTTATCGATTAGAATTTCAATAAGTAGTGCAGGGTTCCCCTGAAACCTTGTCGTACATAGCGGCAGTAGGGATATTGCCTCCTCGGTGGGCGTAGGTAGTAGACCCCAGTCCATGCAGTTAGTGCTATAATAATAAATTTTACCCTCCAAGGCGTTTTTAACATAACCAAAAGCGACGAAATAATCCTTTTCCGCGCCGAAGATTCGTCCCCAAAAAAAGACGTTGTGGAAGTGATTTTCATTTTGTAAGAAAAGCAGTGTGTTGGTTAGTACCATGGTTTCTTCTGTGCTGATAACCTGACCGTAATATCCGAGGGTGTCCAAACTGTTTGCTAACGAACTCAAATTCATGGCTGAAATTGTCACACTGACAGATCCCTAGGTAGGTATATCTAGAAATGTTGATTTGTGGCAAAGTAGGTAATTAGAGTAAAAGGCCAGCCTCTTATACCCCCGCTCCCCACCCTGCGGGAATTTCCGAGACACATTTTCGTGTAGCTCTTACTATCTAATATTATATTTCAGTTTTTTGCACGAGAATTGCTAACCTAAATGTAATGCTATTTGGTATGGTTGGAAAGCATTTTTTCAGAGCTTTCCAACGACGTATCACACATAGGGGGTCACTATTTAAGATTTAAAAGTTGGGGTGGCTGGGGCGCAGGGGGTTGGAGGGGGTGCGTCGCCAACTATGTCATTGAGATTCCCCCTCCGAATTACCGAAACGGATTTTGATTTTTTAAAATACCTCGTTTATTTACTAAGACATGGGGGGTGGTAAGTTTTCAAATTGCCACCCTATATTCAAAATTTTTTGCGAGCCGCATTAGAAGGTTCTGCTTCTGATATTATTGAATTTTTACCCGAAAAATTATACAATTGTTTGGCAATTGGCAGTCTCTTTGTGAAAGGTTTGACGATAATAAAATATTAATTTACAATAACATCCAGTCACTTTTTAATATTGATATCTTACATAAAGAATCTAGTGCTGGTATAATGAATATCATAAATGTAAATAAGAATCTACAGTAATAATGGAAAAATGTAGGAGCACGTACGGAACTAGCTAACTTAGGTCAATGTATTAATCAAAATCAGTTATCAATTAAAAGAGAAAATTGTTATTGAATGCAGACAATGGAGTTTCATTCCTTGTTAATTGTTATTCACCAAATTTTGGCGGTATTTAGGGAAGCAAAAGTTTTAAACAAATCATTTACAAAGAGTCCTTGATGGAAATCAGTTAGATACTTACAACTCCTTCTCATTTCCTAATTGGAAAATCAGCAGTGACTCTACCAGATCCAGATATACAAGACATACAAATATCATGACTTTCTAGATTTTAATCCTTGCAAAAGCTAAACCAGCAATGTTGGAGTCGTTGGTCGACTGAATATGTAACAGAGTTACAGTTTCGTAATAAATGGAATAAAAAATTTCCATTAAAATTGGTGATAATGGTTGTAATTAAAGAAAACAACATTATATCATCTAAATTCTAAATGGTTACTTGGAAAAATTACACATCTTCATCCTGGCCACAATGGACAAGTACGGGTTGTGAGTGTTCATACTAATTACTAAACGTAAAACGCTCACTTTTAAAATTCGGGATATTAGGTACCAGTGACTTAATTAAAAAGTGGTTAGAAATTCACGGAATTTCAACCCGGGGTAAATATTATGAAAAAGTATCGAATGTTTTTAAAATTAATTTAAAAAAAACTGAATTAAAAAATGTTATCTGGGTTTCATTCCTAATTTACTAACAGAGAGTTCTTAATTTTAATGATGAACTAACGATTTTGGTTACATGTTTTTTGATGCCCTACCAGACAAGCAAATTCAAAATTTACAATGCTTTGAAATTACATATGAGCATGTCGAAAAAGTTGCAAGAAAACTTCATGGTAATGGAGGTCCAGGAGGAAGCAGTTCAGATCAACGGACAGATTTTTTTGCGTCATGATAAATCAAATGAGAACCTCCGTTGTTCAATAGCTGCTTTA